GAAAAATAATCATCCCCTACCCTCAGAGGATGTGACAGAGAAATCTCCAACCCTCGGCAGAGCCTCGCGTTAGACAACAATAAAAATCATCCCTCGGGTTGGAGATTTCTCTATCACACCCTCAGGGTAGGGGAAGATTCTATTAATCTCCCTTTAGACAAGAATCTAATATCGGGCCCATTGTATAAGTATCTCAATCGGGCAGAAATTCTACCAGTAATATTTCTTTGCCCGGTATTTCTAACTATGGCGGTTAGCTCCTTTTCTGATTGAATTTGATTTATTTTTCAATTCTTAAACTGAAATAAGGGTGGACAGTTAGTCAGGGAGGAAACCAATTAATCATATTTATCATTTCTTTTTTTAAAAACTGGAAAAAAAACTCCTATTATAATAACTTTCTGTTTAGTATAATGGTGGATGAAAAATTCATGTTCCCAGAGAGGATCTATTAACCTTGTAACGCGATTGATTGAACGATTAACAATATCCTTTCAAGAACATGGTGAATTATTGTGTAATAACTGATGTATTAGTTTATGTTTTTTCCGGTTTTTTGTTTCTGTCGATGCTGTCCATTGTATTCTCTAACTCCCTCATCTGATGTTCCCGTCTGTAGCCTTGTGGTTAATCTTCCTACATCTAACTGTTATGTTCTTCAGAACATTTATCCCAAACCAAATTAGCATATTCCAAAGCCGCTTTAATATATGATAGCAATGATCTACTGATTTTATTGACTTCAGAAGAATGTTGATTCGTTTAAAAACACTAACAAAGACTTTCTGTATATGTTAAGTCATCTTTACATCTTCGCCTTTAGTAAGACCAAGATGTATATGATTTCTACGAATTGTTAATTGTTCATCTGAAAGGAGATGTGAGGATGAAATGGCTCGTATTTATTTCAGTAAAAGTAATAATGATTGGGATGAATAACAAGTAAGTTATGATATTTCAATTATCAGGATAAAGGCATTAGTAGGATGGAAATGTTCAGAGTGCAGCTCTGCTTTTGACATCGCCAAATGTTTAACGAATGGGTTTTAATGTAATGTTAAGAGTTATCTCCCTTCTCAGTTGATGACTATATTGTAACAGCACACTGTATTGTATACTGAAGTGCATAAGTAAGTATACGTTGAAATTGTGGATAACATATTTCCAACATAGAAACTGGTAAAAAACATCGTTGTTAACATTGGAAAAATCATTGTATCGGCTAAATGCATTCAACTATACAATTAAATGAAGTTTTAAAGCGACATCACGGATTAAACGAATTCTACGGACTTCTACATCACTGTGTATAGATATCAAGTATGTCACCCTACAAACAACGACAGTTGATTTTTCTGAAATATGCACCCCGTGCTATCATACTATAACATAAAAATATCGACGTCATTATGTAACGTCATTTTGATTGGCCAAAGAAAGGAGGTCATTATCAATGTAAAAATACTGAGATTTTTTGTTAAATCGTGAAGATCGTCTTAATGTATAATCTTGTGTTATAAGTCCATGCCAATAAAGACGAGTGTACTGTTGGTGGTTTATGCACCGAACACGCTGAGTTTTGTGTTATTGATCAAGAACATAAAAAGGTGATTTTAAATCTCCAGTTATCTCACCTGATTTTAAATAACAAAGTATAATGTTTGATTTTCAAGGCATGGTATCCTTGTTTGTATAGATTAGTTTGGTTTTCATGTTTATTGTTTGTTCATCTTTGTTTCCGGATGTTAGATCCTTGTAGATAACTGGAGGGCGGATAGAATGAGATAACAGGTCTTATCTGATGATGTTCCTGCCACACATCCTGTCTCAGTTGGAGTAAAATAGAATAACTGCTATGACCATGTAACGATAATTTAATTAATGTAGTTGTGTATGAAATATCTATGTTTATAAGACGGTTACATCCATTTCAATTTTCAGTTTGATTGCTGTAAGCATGGCGGCTTACAGGATACAAAAACATACATATTGAACACAATGGTGACTTTGTATAGGAGAGTGTTGATTGAATAATAACACATACGTTTACACACGTGTACCTGTGTGATAATACAATTATACATTACTACATTGAATAGGCATTTTTCTTGAAAACAAATACTCTGTATTCACAAAGAATACACAACAGTTTTACCTCTGAAACAGAGGTTGAACATGCTTGGGTGAAGATAATACATGTAATGTGGCTTCAGACATATCACCCTTAAGTTAGTATAAAATGGACATTTGAGCATGAAATACAATTCGTCAACATATATACGATGGTTCTGAAATAAATTGTCTCTGAAAATTTTCATTTCAAACAATTCTTTCGAGAAATCAAATTATTCTCTACCTTCAGTGTGTGTTAGTATTGCATTGCGAAATACCTCATAGACTTGGCAGGCCGATCGATCAACATAAAAGACTAAATCCGATATATATTCATGTGGAATATTGATGCGGCCTATATATTGACCTGACAATGAGAAATAGCTGTACCAGTCCCTTCAGTATACCATTTTATAGGTAAAGGGGTTTTTTCATTATCGAAGACATGCACAAAACGTACCGCGACCTTACATACATGTAATTACGAAACGTATCGGAAATGTCAATTGACCTTAGTCAGTGAACTACGTGTATTTACATTCGAGGACTTTTAAATAAACATTTAAATAACACCGAAGCATGTATATGGTTGGAAATAATGTCTATTTTAGTTCAATTCTTTTGTCATTACCTGCCTGCCATGTTTCATTGGAAAAGTGGAACGCTTATGAATACATACACGCATTTCACGCTTCTTTGAGATTATAAAATATATATACAAAAATATGAAAATTTATTCAGTTAGGGGCTAGCACATCTGCCCATTCAGATTTTGACATTTTATTTTATCACTTTGCATTTTCCTCAGCCCCCTCTCTGGTTTAAAAATTAAAGCCTATAGCATCAATTTTGAGTTCGAAAAGCCCGAAACATCTGCGTGTATAACACTTTATCTCATTCTTAATTGATACTGAAAGGCATAGTTTAATTCAAAACCGAATATGCTGACCACTTCTTTTTCTTTTTCTTTTTTGCAACGTTTAACTTCTACACACCTCTGCTAAAACAAAATTGTCCAGTTTCCAAAACTTTGGAGTCTGAAGTCTGCTATTACTATGCAGTCTGGCCTACATGTTTTAAATTAACGATTAATGTTATCAACACCATCGAGAAAACATTTCATGTAAGTTGAGATCTCAAGTTTCTACATTATCAAATATTATCTACCATTAGACTGTAAACGTAAAGTTGTACATATTTTAGCTCAAGTCAAAGTTTTGTTTAGTGCATTCCGCGCGGGAGATATTACGCTAAAATATGACAACAGTTTCTGTATGTCGTTAATATAGCAGTTCTTATGAATGTAAGAATTAATGATTTCGCTCATTTTTTTCAAAATTTTCTTGCACCAAATTAAGTTAGTTTTATAGTATTTGATTTTCAAATATGGACATATAATAGTCACTTATAATAACCAGTCTTACGATCACCAAAAGTGTTATTTTTTGTGAATGATAGACCACAATGTAATATTTTGTCTCTTAATTTGTGATAAATATTAAAGATATCTTGTATCCATACCCCATTGTATGGTACACGACGTGAAAATGTTAAAATACATTCTAAAGTCACGGGACTCATTTCTGGATGTTTTCAAGCCAATAAGTCAAAAATATTGTTATACTTATATAATTTCTAATAAATTTAGCTACTGAAATTTTCCCAAATTATCAACAACAGCAACAAATATTAGGTTGAACTAAATTCGCTCAGATTGACTTTGCTGTAGTACAAAAGGCATATCTCAAAAAATAAATAAATGGAAAATGGAAACTTTTGAAAATGTGTGTCTTCATTCTGAGAAAAAAAACAACAATGGCGAGAAACAGTAAGGACATGATAAAGAGATAAAAGTGTAATTTTCCCATTTTCTCTTTCTTTGTAAACTGTGTAAAGCTCTTTGTTGCAACACTCTATTTGTATATCACAAAAAATAGATTGAAGTAATGCATTCTATTGTATGGTGTAAATAATTCAGCATTGTAAATCTTATTATTGACAATTATTTATGTGTATTTCGGTGTCTGCTAGAATATACTTAATTATGAAAGGTCTTCATGCTATAGTGTATTTGATATCTACGAATGTTTCAGTAGTAAATTAATGTACTTATGGTATTGTTTAACATGTTGCTGTATCAGGCTAAATCGACTCATTGTAATATGCTATATTTTCCCAATATTTGTCATGGTATAGTATTATACGATTGTGATGTATCTCGTTGTGATCTGATGACAAGAAACAATCAAGATCGGAGAAACATTAACTGTTTCTGAATTTATATTAAAGGATGCTGTTTACTTGTGTGTTTTATAAAGACATTGTTGTGTTCACACTTGTTCAGTTAATATGATAGACATTTAATGATTTCGTAATAAAGGATATCACTTGGTTCTGAGTCACGGTATAGAAGTACAGTACACATGAACTGAACTGTACACGTATATACATGTCGTTGTTCTTGATCCGAGGTTGGCTTGTATAAAAATAATACACGTTTAGAATAAAAAATCTAACAAAGAATCCGAGGTGTTGGTCCGCGTGTTTAAATAGACACATATACAAACGACCAAGTCACACTCGGGTACACGTTCTGCGTGCTAGATTGTAACCTCAAGCACTGTTCATATATACAGTCGGTAGTCCACAGGGATACGCAGTCCTACACTAGACCAGCCACAGGATCAATATATTACTGGCACATAACAGCCAGTCAGTGTCAGCTGGTTACCTACTTCTTACAAACGGTACACAGGTACCAGCTTGTCTTAGCACCACCACCATTGGAAGATTCGTTTGTGTCGGGAATACACCGTAACTTCTGACTAGATATTCTGTTACCATGGACGCTATATAAAAGTGGTGTACTACTTCCGGTAAAATAAGACATGGGGCTTTTAATGCAGTTTGGATTGCTATTATGGAAGAATTTCACAGTCTCGAGGAGGAGGACATGTGCCACAGTGTTCGAGATTGTCTTGCCGTTGGCGTTCGCGTTTCTTATGCTTATCATCCGATTCCTTACTAGTACCACGGACAACAGCACGGCGTCCACGTGGGATGCATTTTCGGTGAGCAGTGTGGGTCTGGCGGTACCGTCCACGACGAGGAAAAATATCTACTACTCTCCGACTTCCACAGCTATCAACGACGTCATGTCGACCAAAGTGAATACGGCATTAGGTGGAAATGCTACAGGTACAGATAAAATACTTACATTTCAACATGATTCCTCCTGAATATTTAACGAAGGTCGAAGAACAATCACAAAAACGTATTATTTGCTCAATAACTACATCAAAATCCTCTCAGGATTTCTGTCAGGTAACTCAACTCCCAAAACTAATAACAATTTATTGGATAATTTCTGTCTCTAAAATGATAATTTAATGTCAATATTCCCATTTATCATGCTGTTATTGATATGTACATTTTTTTACTTACCTAACTTTTAATCTTGACAGAAAATTGTGACTTTGTTGACATGACAATGTAAACATGCAGACGATGCGCACGTAAAACCCTAAGTAAGATAGAATTTTCTTACATAGCCATCTAACGCTGGCAAACTCTTGTCAACAAGGTGGTATATGAAAGAAAATAAACATGAATGTGTCAATGCCAATAGTACACCAAACAGTACGTGCACATCCTTCCCCTTTCTATGAACAGTCGATGTTGAAAACCCTTCCATTTACAGCCTGCTGTCCTTAATCCTTCCTCTCTAGTTCACCTCGTCTTTGAAGCATTATAAAAATCATTAAACATATTTGAATAATGAACAGACATTCATCTCATTGGTGTTCATTGGGAGGACCTCGGTAAGTTCTGAGAAACTTACACAATCCGTTTTTATTTAAGGCATTAAGGTATGTTTAAATTGTTTATTGGCCTTTGTAAAAAAGAATTTCACGAAAATACGGAAATAATCAATATTGACTTAATATTTAATTCCTGAAACGTGTATCACACCTGAACACATTAATATGCAGTTTGAATCAAGTATGATTTGACACAGTCACATGAAAATTCATTTACCACATAACTAAAGGCCTAAATCAAAATTAATAAGTCATGTCTTAATGACGTCACATGATTGTCCCAGTAGTGAAAAACGTACCGCCCGCGTATGATTTATAGGGAAATCACTTGAGAGTTTGTGGTTAATTTTACGGAAATATGATAAATAGAATCTTACATTGGTACCGATGTGATATGGAATTTAATAAATTGCGCCTAATTGCTTGTAACATATCAAATTTTTGAACATGTTTATCCAATTCAATTTTTCATCGACACTCGTATAAGATCCTTTATTTATTGGAAAAATATATTAACAAGCTCAAGTGCTTCTATAACATAATGGGATTACACATATTCACTATATATAACTGGTCGTCTACGAGAAATGGTTGCGACCTATTGCATATACATGTTCACGGATGTCTTCCACAGTAACCGGCTACGCATCGTCTACTCTATTACGAAATGCATACGATCTGAATTCTGCGTCGGTGTGGGCAGCGGTTGAGTTTGACGAGTCGGCCGACTATTCGTCCAGCCTTCCCAGCCACGTGACTTACTCCCTTAGAGTGGCGCTTTATGACAAAGCTGAAGATAAGAAATGGTATACAGATCGTTCTTATCAGTTTTTCCAGGCGCCTGGTTACAGAAACAATTTTTCCACTGCTGGGGAGCCTTGTAAGTATTTTCTTCTGTTTTTACCTTGCATTTGTCTTCTAGACACTATTTTTGCAGCTAAAATGAAAACGGTGATAAGAAAGGGCTGTGAAAGTCATGTTTAACAAAAATCAGCAGGTAACTCAGTGTGAATATAAAAATCCAACTTGATAGATGAGACTTCTTGTATATATATCTTTGTTATCTATAGTTGTTTTTATAAGTGTAGTGGATACATGGTGGTTGACGGTATGATTCGCTGAACAGTGTCAACAATTCAGACAGATTTTTTTCCATTGCTAAGATAATTCTTTAGAATAAAACTCTAAAAATGTTGATAAGATTTTCGATTAATTTGAATCATTACCACCAATCATAGATTTCAAATACCTACATTTTGACTAGTAGGGTTCCTTTCTTAATTTTTAGGACCCGAAAATAAATATTTTTGCTTGTGCTTGATCTTGGAAAAAAATATTAAATTCTGCAAAATATTAAATATTTTTATGAAAAATATTCCTTATATTTCTCTTTCAAAGTCTTTTAAAAATGTTATCTTTTAGACCACTGTCAAATAAAGGATTTAAGTCGTTTTTCAAAGTTTTCATTGCTTGATCAAACTGAGAGCAATTTTACGTTATAGTTTTCTTTATCCAAGTACCATTCTCTTAAATTTTCATGAAAGCGGGAAATTATTGAAAAATGATAGTCCAAAAAAACGATAGGGGAGAATGTTTGTTTTACAGGAAAAAATCAAGAAAAACGAGACTGAAATCAGATCCTAGTTCCGTTTGATTTTAATTCGGTACAGAAATCGAACCCACAACCTTTCAGATAGAAGTTAAGACTACCATAGCTTTTTAAAAGGAATAAGTCTAATACAGAATTTACATTCATTTTCCAGTTCCATTAAACCTTAAACGGAACGGGGAACTAGATTCCAGCTCCGTTTAAGGAACAAAAAGTGTATGTTGGCAAAACAAAAAGTCCAAAACACATAATATAATTATAATTCGGTAAAAAAATCAAGAAATTCAGAGAGAAATAATTACCATAGAAATTGATCCGAGACGAAACTCACATTCAAACTCCGGTTCGTTTAATCTTAAAAAGAACTGGGAATCAGATCCCAATTATTTGTCTGTCAGTCTCCGACATCTTGCACAGAAACTCGTGATCAGGCCCCAGAATATCGGATTAATTGCATCATTTAAACACCGTAGGTTGGGGCTGCAGGGAGAATGCTATCCAGAAATGGTAAATGTACAATGGGAAATTGAAAGCATCACAGATCGGGATAAAATGATAACTTAATGTCAGTATCACATTGATTAAGCTGTTATTGATGTTTTATTTTCACTTTTTTTGCTCATTTTAGTAATATCGGTATTAGCGTAATAAATGTGAATATTGACATTTGAATGAATATTCTAGAGGAAGAAGTTTTCAGGCACCTTCTAGGTCTAAAATTTAGTCTCTTAGCATGATTGACGAGTCCTAGAAGGACGATGCAGTTTCTTAGTTGGTTTTCTTGGTTCTACTAGATCCTACAAGTATTTAAATTAGAGCTAAATGCTGTAAATGATTATTTAATTTAGATTTAGTACAGCACGACCCGAGTAATTTCGTTTGGAAAAACAAAACGAAAAGCTTTTATTTGCTGATGAGATGAACAATTCATCATCGCGAGATGATTGATCGACTCTATCTTTGTCTGATGAAAATATATGATTCAAGTGCTGTCAGACATGTTCTAGATATTACAGATGAGCAGACAGAATCCATATTTTCATCATACGAACTGTGCCAACATTAGGGTCGATATATAAAATCTAATGTCAATATTTAAGGTTAATATTTACATATGGTGTCGGTAAGTGTAATTTACTTGTCTGAATCGACGGCTTTAATCGTTCTCTGTGTTGAACATTATTATTTAATGGGACCTCCTGATGGTTCCACATTTTGTGGCATTTCAAAACCTCTACCCAGACCAATCTGAAACTACGAATACATATCAACATATCCGTATCTAGCATCTGACCTTCTGTCACGGACGCACATTTAATTTAACTTTTATTTTTTTGTTCTTGTTTTTTATGTATATGTTACAGCTCTTAAAACACAATGAATGATATAGAATACAAAAAAATTACATAGACCACAACAATTAATGTAGAACACACGATTGATATGGAGCACAACAAATGCTATAGAATATTACGTAATATTAACATAATCCTAGCACAAACTCAATATCCATGACGGAACTTGGGCAAAATATGAACAAAAGAAAGATTTACGTGGAGACTTCCGAAAAAAGCACAAGACCAACAACAAACACACTATCCTTGAATAATGATGTAGGTTCGATTTTCTTTTTGTTTACGTCGTCTAAATAAGGTTGATCGAACCAGTGATTATGATGTGCGTCACAGTCATCAGAATGGTTGAGAAGATTAGAGTGTTGTAATTATACTTCAGAAAATGACGCACAAAGTTAATAGTTCTGTTGATGAGGTCTCTCATGTCTGCCTTTATGATTGATGACACGACATGGATAGATCTCACACTAGAATCGGTACTCCTGTTTTCGTTGTCATGATAAAATGACCCTGTTTGTTGTCAGTCTTGGTGTATCCTTGGTGACAAGGCATCCTTTTGTATCCTTGTGGTGGTGTTATGTTGTGGTTACAGTGAGTTTGGATTTCTGTTACTGGTAATTACGTGGGTGGCAGCGTGAAGTAAAACATCATAACCTTCAGCTATAAAATGAGTATCTATTGTCATTTTCCAAGTTTCGATATTTTACTGCGGTTATTATTGATACATGATTAATACAATATTCCCCTACCTTGAGGGTGTGACAGAGAAATCTCCAGGGCATAGCCTCAACCAAGAATGTCACCCCGAGGGTTGGAGATTTCTCTGTTACACCCTCAAGGTAGGGGATGATTATTTTTCTCCCATCATACTTTTTCTCAGAGAGCCTTAGCTTCGGTGATAATCAGCTTATAAACAAACAGGTAAAAACTATTTCGCATAGACATGTCATGTGGACTTTATGCATCATATACGTTTCTATAGGGCGAAAGTGTCAATAATCTTGCGCTTCCTACCTTCAGATCCTATGCTGACAGTGTCTCCTATTTCAAACATGGTTTTGAGCTATTGGTAAATTCGGACATGTGTATTTGTTTACATACATGTAGCAGACGACGTGTGTAGAAGTAGTTCCGGTTCACTTCCGGTGCAAGCGCTATCATACCCTAGGGGTTGACCGAGAAATCTTGAACAAGTAAAACGGGTGACAAGCCTGTGAATGATGGGAGAAAAAGATACCCATGGAATCATATCGTAGAGACTGTCTGTTCTGGATTAACATCTGATACAACCTTGTAAAATGATTGACAGATCATTGCGTACTGCATATAATGTTTGAAGATTAAATATTTCACTTATAGAATGAATCGTTTTATTTCCCGACTTGCGTCTTAGATTTCAACATTTTAGTCCCTTTTCGTCATTGACGAGTCATATAAGGACGAAACAGCTGTATGATGTAGCACCATTGACGAGTCATAAAAGTACGAAACAGCTGTATGATGTAGCACCATTGACGAGTCATATAAGGACGAAACAGCTGTATGATGTAGCACCATTGACGAGTCATATAAGGACGAAACAGCTGTATGATGTAGCACCATTGACGAGTCATATAAGGACGAAACAGCTGTATGATGTAGCACCATTGACGAGTCATATAAGTACGAAACAGCTGTATGATGTTGCATCACGGACGAGTCCTAGTAGGACGAAACAGCTGTATGATGTTGCATCACGGACGAGTCCTAGTAGGACGAAACAGCTGTATGATGTTGCATCACGGACGAGTCCTAGTAGGACGAAACAGCTGTATGGTGTTGCATTACGGACGAGTCCTAGTAGGACGAAACAGCTGTATGGTGTTGCATCACGGACGAGTCCTAGTAGGACGAAACAGCTGTATGGTGTTGCATCACGGACGAGTCCTAGTAGGACGAAACAGCTGTATGATGTATTTATCGTGTAACCACAATGCATCAACAATCAACAAAATAAAATGGGGGTTATTTTCCCGATATAACTGATACCACAAAGTACTAAACACGATGTTGTCTTCCCTGCTCTAAAGATTAACAAGAAATACTGATGTAGATAAAAAAAATAAAGAGCAATTATCATCGGTTTTTTTTTTAGAATAATGACCATCGTTTAATTAATTGCCACAGTTCAGGACTGCATTGTACAACGCACATAACACCTCATTGTCTATTGTAAATTGAAACATTATTTGGCTATTTTTTATTTTTAAAACCTTTTGATGTTGTTTAAATCTTTTATGAGATAGTCATTAGACTACTATATCCTAATATAGAGCAACGTAAAATAACACTGTTTCAGACTACTACGAGACAGGGTTTCTGGCACTACAATACGCTATAGACAAAGCCATCATAGACAATAAATATCCGAGCAATACCTTAGGAACTACCTACAACATACAACTGAAGAAAATGGCGTATCCTTCATTCGTCGAGGACGATCTGACAGCCACTTTGCCTACCATTATGCCGCTCTTTCTAATGCTTTCCTTCATCGTAACCGTGTTTACGTCGACTAAAAACATCGTCCTCGAGAAAGAGACGAAAATTAAGGTAAGTGGTTAAGTTTTGTATCGTTCAACGTCGTATGAACAACTTTGGTAATTAAAAAACGACAAGTTCAGTGGAGACAATGTTTCAAGTGCTTCATTTATCGAATTAACAATAGCAGAGAAATAAGCATTAAGGAGATGGTATTCATTTATTGTAACGGTATGATTAAATTTTTTGCGGTTTTAAGCAGAAGCTTGAGGAAAACTGGTGTAATTTTAACGGTAGTAAACTGAAGTTAATAGTGTTCCCAATGCCCCTGAATGAGTGTAGCAAACCACCAGCATTAATGCAGTTCACATAATGAATACTATGTTTGGGGTTCTATATGAGCCCAACCATGATAAATGGTAACCCATGAAGTGTGATTGTTTGAAAGAGACAATCATGTAATGGCCTTCATTCTAAATTAGTATAACACATTTACTGCCGTACAACTTATCTTTCTTTGTTTCTAGGAGTCAATGAAACTAATGGGGATGAGTCCCACTATGTACTGGATGTCCTGGTTCGTCAGATTGTTCATCTACCTCTTCGTCATCTGCTTCCTCTTCGCTCTGCTGTTCGGAATCAAAGCTGGCAAAAATGGCAGTGTCTTTCAAGCTTCACAGCCGTCTCTCATATTCATCTTCCTTCTTCTTTTCGGCATATCAATCATCGCCTTTTGTTTCATGATGTCAACAATTTTCAAGAAAGGTAAATGAAAATTGATTGTAAATAATATCAATTTGAGGTGAAGAATATATGAAAGCCCGTTTTTATACAAACTCGCTAATACATAAATCCATAATGAGAAGAGAAAGAAACAAGATTAGTATCACCTTCACGTAAGAAGTAATAACATTAGCCGGATATTATCTTGGGTGTTGTAGAGAGACACATCCGTCAGTTTTCATGAGCTACAGATTCCTATTATATTCGAAATAAGGATCCAGACGCAGGTTATCAAAATATCAATTTGAATTATATAAAGTAGTCTGCACTCTGAATATGTAACAATAATTTTCAATAAAGTTTCTACGCTGAAAAGTAGTTCAGTAATGTTTGATTCATAATTTATCAGGTTTTTTATTTGAAAAGAGAGCCATAGAAGATGCTATAATCAACTGAACCAAGTCATTCACATCTAAATTATCGATCATACATTATAATTCAGTAACGAAGCATACCTTATGTACATTGAAATGCTTTCCATGATGCAGCTAGCCAAATAAACAGGTAGACAAATGGTTAAGTCACTATAGCACTATAACGTTTCGTGAAAAATAAAGGAAAAATAAAGCTATGTTGAGGTGTGAAATAATTTGTATGTTCTAGCTACCTCCGCGGCCTTTGCAGCAGGGATCATATATTTCCTGTTCTACATGCCCCAGTTCTTTTTGAGTCGATCTTATGATACGTTGGGCAAAGGAGAGAAGGTTGGCATCTCCCTGCTCAACCTTATGGCTATGGCATTCGGGGTCACTACCATAAGTCTATACGAAGGCACAGGTAACTTTTAATATCTTACTCATACGGTTTTAGAGTTGAATAGACATTTACTGTACTGAAACGACCACGGCAATATAGCAAGTCGTTCATTATGTCTATGTAATGTTACAAATCCTTGAAAGATGACGAAACAGCTGTATGATGTAGTTTACTTAATTACTTGACTTTACTGTACCTAATTCTAAATTTGTATTGAAAAATGATATTCATTTGTGTATTATTTTTACATTTCTTTCACTACACATGCCACTTTCCGGTTTATAAAATATTTCATAAACTTAGTAAATACTCCTGTTTGAAGTCAAAATCGTTTTTGTATAGACATTATATTCAGGTTGTATTCTGTTGTGTTGACGCCATATTAATGTTCTTTTGTATATTCTCTTCTAAAGGAGCTGGCGCAAAATGGTCGAACTTCAACGAGCCCGCGACTGTGGATGACAACTACTCACTAGGGGACGCTATGGGTATGCTTCTGTTGGATAGTATCATCTACTTCCTGGTGGCCTGGTACATGGAAAATATCCGTCCCGGTGAATTCGGAATTCCAAAACCGCTTTACTTTCCGTTCACGGTAAGGCACTGAATTACGACATCATTGAGGAATCAAGAGTAATACACATGCTATTTAGACATCATTCTCTTCCCATCCAGGAATGTAATGATATCTTTTTTCCGCGTATCTATTATTTTTGTGATACTTATATAATGTATCTGAAATTGAAATAATGTTTCCGAAACGTCTATATTTCTTAATTGCAATTAATTATTCTAATTAGTTTCAATTTGATTTGCCACACACAGAAATCCTACTGGTGTGGAACCAAGGTAGAGGCGGATCTGCTTGAAATCAGTGTTGACCATAAAGATAAAGACAAGTTTGAGCCGGACCCAACTGATCTGAAAGCCGGAATAAACATCAGCCATCTACGGAAGGTAGGCTATGTCATATATTAAGTCCATTTAAATTCCACAACATGAAAGTTCAGGAAAGACCTCATGTCATTTGAATCGCCTGTCTAAATTGATATGTTTAGGTATTTGGCAGCAGTAAGAATGGGAAGGTAGCAGTTGCTGATACCTCACTAAACATGTATGAGAACCAAATTACAGTGTTGCTTGGCCATAACGGAGCTGGCAAGACTACCACCATGTCTATGATAACAGGTACGTGAAGCACACACGCAACTATATCATATCCTCTGACCATTATAAAGAGGCAATCTTATGACGCACTTGTACACACATGTATCAGTTATGGTAAATTGTAGGTATGTGTAACTCACATCCTTACTACCCCCATCACTACATCAAAAACCGTCACGTGTTTAGATAAACCCTTTTTTAAATCCTTAAAGCCAGAGGCATGCATAAATCATGCGCGCCTGTTACATTGCATTGTCACTTAAATTTGTGCTTCGAGAAAACTAGAACATGACATATCAGTAGTGATTTGTAATGATTTACTATTAGTTGAGGAGATTCTAATAAACTTTAAAACATTTTTTGGCGTTACAAACAACTCGTGGTAACCATTCTAGGTTTCATACCACCTACTAGCGGAACGGCCATCATTAACGGCAGTGACATCCGGAAGGATATAGAAGGTGTCCGAAAAAGTCTTGGACTTTGTCCACAACACAATATTCTGTATGATAACTTGACTGTTGAGGAACATCTGTGGTTCTTTGCCAAGGTGAGTAACAGGTGTTCTGTTAATACCGGCTCTCAATGTTGAATAACAATATACCAACAAGTTCTTTTTATGGACTCATTGGACGAACTGTTAATGTGATCTAACATGATAAATCAATATTTCATTTCAGTTAAAAGGATGTCCATCGGATCAAGTTAAAAAGGAGATCGATGACATCATTCAGGTGATGGGAATAGAAGCAAAAAGACGCCGACTTTCGTCAACACTCTCCGGGGGACAAAAGAGGAAACTTTCTGTTGGCATAGCACTGATTGGAAACTCTAAGGTACTGATAACATAGACCTATTGACACTCCAACATGATTGTGAAAACTGGCAGAACTGTCGACATGACAGTATTTACAGCTTTATGAATAGTTAAAATGTTATCCGATCGATGTAATAACTAATTCAGCATCATTATGTGAATGTCGCTGCAAATCACAATCAGTATACAAAGTTACCTCTGTCAATGAATTTTGTCTAAAATTTCAGTAAAATGTATAGCAGAATTGAAGTTAAATAGCTACTTGGACTATCGGTTAAACACACTTATAAGGGAATTAGAATTTTCAGAGTTCACTTTTGTTGCAATTCGTGAAAGAATAACATTGATCAGTGAAGTCAAAATAGCTACACGCACTTTGTTGGTCGGTTTGATGGCTTTAACGCCCCGTCATCAGGCAGTGTCATCAGAGATAGGGTCTTTATGTAGTAGATTATATGTACCTCACTGAATAACATACGAGAGGCCCGTCGCACATCAACCAGAACTGTTGAGATACGGTATATTGTATTGAGTGTATTTAAACTTGACTGTGTAATAGGGAAGAACTAAAATTGTATTTATCTCTACACTTATGAGATACGGATTGGTGATTGATGATGATAAGAATGGCATTTGAAGCTGTATGACAGATGAAATAATTTTAATTCACGGAAACTACAGGTAATTATACTGGATGAACCAACCTCGGGTATGGATCCAGCCGCACGAAGGGAGACGTGGGAAATTCTCCGTAAGTACAAAGACGATCGCACTATCCTGCTGTCAACTCATTTTATGGACGAAGCAGATCTTTTGGGCGACCGGATCGCTATCATGTCGGAGGGAGTCATCAAGTGCTGTGGGACGTCTTTGTTCCTTAAGAAGGCATACGGTGAGTTTTCTTTGCAACCTTTTTAATTACTCATGACCTTTTTTTTTTTAGTTTCACAGACAATAACAATAATATATATATACATTTAACATAATATTACAAACATACATCAACATGCATAAACAAGTGCAAATGTACACACCCTTATATAAATACCTTTTCACACACATACATGTAAACGTATACATGTACATGTTTGCACATACATACATACATACATACCAGATTTATATAAGCTTCTCACAAATTTGATTGGAATGATATGAAACTAAGTGATAAAAAGCATGGATCAAATTGATAAGTTTTTTTTTCTGACTTAAGTCTGTTTGATGTCCGGTTACCAGTCACTTTACACACAAGGATCCATTAATTGAAACTCAGAGGGGGGAGATAGCTTCACAGACATAGAGCCATTCAAAAACTTGGTCAAGTTAGTAATGTCACGTTCTAAAATGAGTACAAGGTATACAACAATGGAACCAACAGCCAATCTAACGAATATTAAACACGTCCAGCTTTATATCGCATGAGGTAATAGAATGTTTCTCAATGAGATCAAACTAAAGTATCAAGGTCAAAGACAAACTAACTTAGCCCCATTCTAGCACAATATTCGAGATAAATATTGTAGATGATAAACATTTCTGGTGAACGTTTAGTCCCCGAGGTTTGCCGTTACGTGCATGCGAAGATTCAATTCAATTGATTAGTGGCACGGTCTGGAATATATTCATGTGCTTTGTACAATATAGTTGATGTTCTTAGAAATTATTCAATATTGAAAATTACATTGATCGAATTCTGGGATTTTGATTTATTTTTTATAAATTTAGATCTTCCTCTGTCCCAATTTAGGCCCGTATCATCGCTTAAGAGTCCCATAAGGATACAGTTTCATTAATTTTGCTCTACATTATCTAATTCTGAATTTGTCAACTGTGTGCCATTTATACAATCTCCATGATGATACAAGACAACACCCTGATTGTATGAATTCATGTTTATGTGCATACATCATTGTAAGAATAAGAGCCTGTCATAAATTCCAACGTTTTCTGTAATTCAGTCTCAATAAAAAAAATTGTCATTTTAAACAGTAATGACGACAGTTTCAAACACAGGTTTCAATGTGCGTCAGTGAAACATAGCAACAGTAGATTCAGGTAATGATATGTGAAAGGAGTTCATGTGCATACATATTCTGCAGGGGCTGGTTATCATTTGGTCACCGTTAAGACAAAAGACTGTGATGTATCCAAGGTGACCAACCTCATACAGGGCCACATCCCACGAGCTTTCATCGAAAGTGAAATCAGTGCAGAATTATCCTACCTCTTACCTTTCGACGAGTCAGGCAAGTTTGTGAAACTCTTTGAGGATTTGGAGAATAAACTTTCATCTCTTGGGCTTAGCAGTTTTGGTATATCAGCTACCACGATGGAGGAGGTTTTCCTTAAGTAAGTAACACATTTAATTATTGAAGTTAACACATGTAAATAAATAAAACAAATGCCAAGTTCTCTTGATGTGAATATCATACTATTTCAGAAAAGTGCGGATAATTTTGTATGAAAATTGGTATTTTTGGAGTTAAGTACACAATACTAACACTACTACCAAGGATAACATAGTACACGTATTTGGTATGTATAAATTCAATATGGTGTATTATTTAGGGTTGGCGAAGGGGCCAGCAAGGAAGACGATGACGAGGAAGGGGATGATTATACAGATAAAGATGGCCTTTTAAAGAAACAGAATGATGTAAAACCTGGTGTGATCAATGACGCATTTCAGATTGACGAAAAGAGCAATGGGAACCCTAATGGAATTGTCGGACAGGAAATGGGGCCAGGGACCTCAGCAGGTACGAGCCGCAGTTTCTTACCTTCAAGAATTTAATGGGGTTTTCTTACCTAATATGATTAGCCGAATGAAAACATGTCCTAAAGTCAGTATGGCCCGATTTAGCTTGTCTGCATATCAAAATACAACAAAATGACGGCAGGACAACGTCTAAATCAAACAAGTGGTATCCTGAAAATGCATTTTGTTACCTGTTTTGGTGCCTTATCCATTCCCTCCAGTGTCATGTAAGACAGAGGGAATATCAATTCCCTTGTAATCATGGTCGTTATTTTACGGTTTGGACGAAATGTTTTAGAAAATTTGAAGACTTTTGTTGTGATGATAGACCAGTCATAAAATCACGCGTCAGTAACCTTCTCGGACACTCATGAAATAATAATACTTCATTTTTAGGTTCTGCTGTATCCGTTAAAAACTCGGGCATGAACTGGGCAGTACAACAGTTTTATGGTATGTTTCTGAAGAAGGCAATCCACAGTTGGAGGAACAGAATAGTGTCAATAGTACAGTTATTTCTGCCTGTCATATTCGTCATCATGGCGTTGGTTGTAGATCAGACCGCGCCTACAAATGACGATGAGCCGGCTTTGACCCTTAAATTGTCCCAGTTTGGAACAAGTGCCACAGTAATGTACACAGATGGGACATCGCCGACCGCGGCCTCAACCCGAATTGCCGGTCACTATAGTAGCCTTCTTTCCGCCTACCCAAGAGAGGATATTGGTGCCACATCGTTTGACACGTACGCAGTAGACAAGGCAACCAGTATCGGTATCGATACGTTCAGTAACAAGTATATCGTTGGCGGTGACTTTGACCAGTCCAACACATTCACTGCCTACTTTAATGGTGATCCATATCATTCTCCCGCCATATCATTGAGCCTTATGACTAACACAATGCTCCGCGAATTTGGTAGTACTAGCGATGCTATAACTACTATTAATTATCCCTTACCGCTGACACTAGCTGAGAAGAATGAAACCGTGGTCGTAACTGCTCTTGCCACAGGCTTCGTAGTAGCATTTCTCGTCCTTTTTGGAATGGCCTTCTTATCCACCAGTTTCATACTTTTCCTCATCAAGGAACGTTCCACGGGTGCGAAACATTTACAGAAGGTGAGTGGAGTTGGGTCTTTCACCTACTGGCTGTCAAATTACTGCTGGGATATAATTAATTATATGATTCCCGTCCTGCTGATCCTGGTGGTCTTTGCAGCATTCCAGACACCAGCCTACGTCTACGACAATCGTTTGGGCCTGGTCTTCCTGTTGTTCTTTATATACGGACTGTGCTGTCTGCCATTTGTGTATCTGCTGCATTTTCCGTTCAATGTTCCCTCCACCGGCATGGCAACTATCAGCATCCTGAACATCTTATCAGGTACATATAGAGTGTAGATGTTAGTTTATTCAACATAAAGCAATAGACAGCAGCTTGAATTACTCAAGTAATATTACACATTACGAGAAAACAATGTCATGTTGGTGTTGAAAGAATAAAATACATCATAATGACTTGAGATACAAGATACTCCTACTATATTTTATAATACGTAACATTAGCATGCTAACAGCTTGTCAGTTTCATTTACCCTTTCATTACAGGTTTAGCAACTTTGTTGGCAGTATTTATACTACAAATACCTGCATTGGGAGCAGAGAATGTCGGTGACGGTCTCGACTGGTTCTTTTCAATCTTCTTTCCGCACTATTGTCTAGGCCAGGGACTCAACAACATCTACACCAATTACGCTAATCTAAAGACGTGTCTTGACGTCAACTACGAAACGTTGTGTACAATAAATAATACACTGGGTTGTTGTACAGGTGCGTTCATCATGTTTCTTTTACCTTACTGGACATTAATCTTCAGTAATAGAACCACAACACTCCTTCCCATTCTTACGTTTAGTATATGACGTCATTCCTATAATCCTTTGCACATAAACTTCATTATCTACAAATAATGTATTCAAAACAAGATACGGGTGTGAATCTCTAATGCCCATCTTTTAACAATTATTATCCTTCTGTGGTATCTCACGCCTACGACGACTTAACTACTAATACAACATCCCTTTTATCCACAACACCCATAATATTATATACGTGTACTGCCAATTTCAGCTAGCATGTTACTGTCCTTCCATTGAGCCAGGATCGACACAAACCATTTTTTTTCAATTAAGATGGTTCTTACTTTTGCAGGATGTACATCCAACTGTTACGAGTTTAGTACTAACTACCTAGCTTGGAAGACTCCAGGTATTCTCCGCTACATCATCTTCATGTTACTACAGACTGTGCTCTTCATATCTGTCGTCCTCATGATTGAGTATGGCGTCATCAACCGACTGGCCTACCTTGTCACTAACCGGTCGAATGCGATAAATCCAAACGAAGAAGAACTAATAGAAGGTAACGAGGACAGTGATGTTCTGGACGAACGGAGGAGAATCCGTGATACACCTTTGGAGACTTTGATGGAAAATGACGCCTTAATTATAAACAACATGACTAAAAATTATGGCGGTTTCCGAGCCGTCCGTGGAATCAGTGTTGGCGTAGGAAGTCAGGAGTGCTTCGGTTTGCTTGGTCAGAATGGCGCAGGAAAGACAACCACTTTTAAGATGATGACTGGTGATGTGTTTGTTAGCAGTGGGAATGCTTATCTCAACAAGTACGATGTCAAACAACATCTGATACAGGTATTTATAGACCTAAGTAATATATCAAATAGTAACATATAGAATATACTGTATGAACTAGTAAACACACTATATACAAGAAGAAGATTCATCCTCACTACCTATTATGTTCACAGGTTCAGCAAAATCTCGGTTACTGTCCCCAGTTTGATGCCCTGATTGACCAGATGACTGGTCGGGAAACTTTGACTATGTATGCTAGACTCCGCGGAGTACCTGAAAAGGAAATCAAATTGATCGTAAACGACCTTATCGACATCATGATGCTGAGGAAGCATGCTGATAAGAACTGTGACGTTTACAGGTACACAAAAATGTATTTATTGTCAAAATTAATGTAATCTTGGTGATCGTTAAGCATAATGACTTTCCTTATATTTACAGTGTGAAGTTTAAAGAAACAATGAGATGTACCTAAATGCTTCGATTTTACTAATCGCTTTTTTCATGTACTGTATTACTGTCGTTTTACCCGAGATCACAACATTGTGAAAATAAAGCCCATTCTATTATCAAGTGATTATAGTTGAGTATCTTATGCTTTCCTTCCAGTGGGGGAAACAAACGGAAGCTGAGCACGGCCATCGCATTGATAGGCGATCCGCCATTCGTATTTCTGGACGAACCGACCACAGGAATGGATCCCGGTGCTAGACGAAAGCTTTGGAACGTGCTTTCAGCCGTCAGAACAAAGGGGAGGACGTTAGTGATGACTTCACACAGGTATATTATCAATCAATATCATGCTGGTACAGATCAATTTGTCCATGGTAATATTTTATATGTAACTGTAGTGTTTTATAGGCAATACCTTGAATGTCATTATTGCCATTTTTGTATCAGTGCGTGCGACAGTCTCGAAGCGAGATAAAGGGGTTATTTTTTTTAGATTTAATGCATAGTTGACGATTAATTGGACTTCTTTATTGATTGTGTCGTGATAAAATTTTTCTTTAGCTCCATATTGGGCTTAATATCTCTCAAAATGCATAAGCTATCATGGTGTCTTTTTAACACTAAATATTATGATAAAACGTTTTGAGAAGGTACTGAAAGTTCCACTTTGGCATAACAGGAATATAAAGTTTGGAGGGTTTGCAGTGTTTTATAAAGAATTATACAAAAAAGAAACATTTTTGTAATAAATGATTTAATGAAAGACACCAACACTGGCCATTCTACACGTTACATGGATTTATGAAAAACAATCATGTAAATACTCCGCAGTGAGGGATTTCTTTTCTTTACATAACATACATCTACACAGACTTGGATGGAGCATACCATATATATCATTCAACTTGGAAAATTTTCGTAGAGACAAAAAAAATGTTTTAGGTATGCTGATTAAATCTGACCTTATTTCATCAGGACACAAAAAATGGAACACACCATTTGAGGAAATAGGCAAACAAACATGGGGCAAATTTTATAAAACGCCATTTCTCGTCACTTCTAACAGAAAACTTCAGTGGTTCCAGTTCAGACTTGTCCATTATATATATGGACAACTATCTCTTGTTTGTTTAAAAATTGAATAGTTATCTCCCCTTTCTGTCTATTATGTAGTTCTGCACCAGAAACAATCATTCATATTATTATCGGAATGTCCAAAAGAATGAAAATTACTACAAAGTTTTTAACCATTATTAGACGTTTCACGATTCCCTTTCTCTTTTAACAAAAACTCTTTTGTTTTTGGTCTTACTCATTAAAACTACCTGCCAAGCAATCGAGTTGACAATGAAATTATTTTATTGATAAAGCAGTATATGTAATAAACAAGATATCTGCATAGCTGCCTTAATGTCAAATCTTTAATGAACATTAAGGACACTTACACCGTTAAAAAGTGCATTGCTTTTGGCAAGGGTGATAAAACGAATTTGAACTTTGAAGTTATATTCTATAATTCTTTTATGCAAAATTTAGTTCTTACTTCAAGTTAATTGATATAGATGTATTTAGTTAATTTATAACGATATATGTCTTAGTCCTTGACATAAACTATCAATATATATGAAGTGATAATTCGTAATGTGCCTTTTTATTAGCTGTCTCCTTGGTCACCTCACCTAGTATGTCTCTGTATTCCTTTAATTATACTATTCTCAAAGTTTCTTCCCGTTTTTTGCTTCCTCTTTTCTTCATAATGCATTGAGTGTGACACTTCCTTGTTGACTTCTTACCGGTAAATTCAGTCCTTGCATGCATTTGCTTTCATATTATAAAGCTGTATTGAGCAATATATTTTATTTAATTTTCATTTTTCTTTTTTTTTCTTTTAGAAGGATAAATTGTATGTATGTATGTTGGGGGGTGGGGGCGCAAGTTAGGTGAGTAAGCCTCATCAGTCACAACAGTTGTCCCAAATCTCTCTTTCTGTCAGATGATATCTAAAAGTATTTACTGTTACTTCTGGATATTATGGAAATGGGAGTTGACAGTTACAATTTTACACTGATCAATCAAGACTGAAAGCGTGCGTATGTACTGGTCATATATATGGTGGTATGTGTGTGTGAATGTAGCTGTATATATACGGTGGTATACGTAAACAAGATACAAGAATTCTCGTTCAGAGACGTTTTTTAACAATAAAACAATAGATCTGTAGAGCTATTATTACGACTATTAATAACAAAACAATTATACTTACACAAAACAAATTATCACAGTAAGATATTAAAACATGTATCACAGATAACTTTTCAAACATTGCTAGCTAATAAAATTCATGCAACATAAAAACTCATGCCGCATATATAGATGATATACAAATGTTTGAAATATGTAGATAAAAATTCAAGTCACTGTCGATGTCAACTCCCAACAGGTTAATAGAGCTTTCACATTCAGTTGAATTTCCTTCGTTTTTCCCCCAAACAGATGACCTGAAATATGGCTTATATGTCATTGTTACTAAACGAGTTAAATTTTGACTTCCTTTTTCTTGTTTATCAGAGAGATGTTTTTAATTATCCCTAGAGAAAGAGAGGGTGTTGTCAGTACAGGTGTATAAAATACGATTGCCAATATGATAAAAGATGTCATTTATGAAAATGTTTTTTTTAAACTCAAAGGGCCTAGTATAGAGCCATGGGGTACTCCCTTATTATTACTTATTATTACTGATATTAAGGACACTTGGATGGATCTTCACTAACATAAAGATCAGACCCGATACCACTGGCGACATTTACAGAGTGTGAATCAAAGATCTTACACACTTGGAATTGATCCGTGACAACTTTCCCATCGTCACGTAAAACTGTAGTGTGCGAATAAAATCTTTTGTTTGAAAAGGAAGACTTAACTGTTTGAAATCTCTTGTATCTGTTAAAAGCCATATGCTTTTTAAAACCTGTCTTACACAGTTTACTATTAAAAATGGTGGTTTATTGGTTTTAGGATTCTTTTCCTCAGGAAAAAGATGTTCCTCAGTAACATCATTAAGTAGACTTTCATATGCTCATAAACATAAGTAGCATGAAAGGACACAGATGACAGGTCGTCCTTAAACTGCTTTACATTAAAATTTCAAAATTGTCTTAACTTTACGCTTGGGTAGTTTGTGGGATGCTCCTTTAATGACTATACCAATAAAACTTTCGAAGAAATTGAGACGTCAAACCCAGACCTGACATATACTTATATATATATATATGTATTGCCATTCAGACATACATTTCAGACTCTGAATTCCACCTACAATTTACTGTCACTTAGAGTTGTTTATCTAATTGTGTCATGATGAAGTTTCATGTTTTTCTTTGTGTTGCGATTAATCAGTAAGTACATATACTACCGTTACTAGACCTGGAATATACTTATATACACATAGTTTAACATTCTTAATATCTCCTTACAATTTACCATAATTGGACATTGTTGATTAATTGTGCCGTATTAAAGTTTTCCGTCTATCCCTTTGGTGAGATTGCTTTCTATCTACATACATTGTACATACTTTTATTCTGGTGATGTGGAGACACCCTTGGCATATAATAACGTGTAATTTCTATTTCAGCATGGAAGAATGTGATGCGCTTTGTACAAAGATTGTCATCATGGTCAATGGGAAGTTTGTCTGCTTGGGAAGTCCACAGCACCTCAAGAACAAGTTTGGACAGGGTTACACGTTGATAATACGGGTCAGCGGAAGTGCCGGAGAAATCCTGTCATCTGACCCCATTAAAAACTATGTTATGACAACTTTTCCTATGGCAGAAGTGTACGGTGACCATCAGGGCTACTTACACTTTCAGATCCCAGATGCCAATATTCCACTGGCTAGAGTGTTTGATGCTATGGAAAAGGTGAAGGATCAGTTCAACATTGAAGACTATTCCGTGAACCAGACTACACTTGAGCAAGTGTTCCTCGGGTTTACTAGGAATCAGACAGCACCGTCAGACACCGGTAAATCCGTCGGGTGCTGTGGACGGTAACTTTAACATGTCGCTAGGAGTCTTAAGATTCTCTAATGCATTTTTGTAATTGTAAATGTGGACAGGAGGTGCATTGAATGCACATCTTTACGAATTATAACAGAAAAACGCATCACAAAATTATAAATGTCAACTACAAAGGTACACTTGTTTGTGTGATAGATGCAAGGTCTTTAGTATATGATAATTATGTTGTCATTTTTAACACGATTTCATTTTGAAAATCGTTCAAGCTTAGATTACTTCAGTTTTATTTGGATTTCTCTACTTCTGACATAACGGAAATTGACGAGTTGCAATATGGAGATACCATAAGTCAAGTTCGAAGAACCGTCAGTGTATGTTAATGTGTAATACATTGGTGTGTTGTTGTATAGGCGCCATTTTTCTATCGTTACTACTCAATTGAATATAAACGCAGTTGTTATTCTCCATGTAACGTCATAACAACTTGTTATGTGGCTCAAGTTACTAAGATACATAATTCATTAATATGCGTGTTACAGGTATGTGCATTGACACACATAGAGCAGTCTGTTAATCGATTATTGTACAGTGTGGCAGTTTGCATTCTGGTCAAGTTCCAAAACAATATATATTATACTATATATTATTCAATTGTGTATATAAATTGTTGTTGACCTTGTCTTTGGCGTTAAATAGACTTGCTGGTAGAATAGGACTCGTCTTCTGTTTCTACTAGTTGTCATATTTTTATATGAGAACAATAATATTTTATTTTTTTTCTATTATATATTGTCTGTGATGAATGATATACACTATATTTAATGACGTCAGCATTTCTGTGATAAATGTCTCTCATGTTTCACTTTTACAGATTTAAAGATATTCGACAATGATGTTTTACTTGGAAACTCCATAGTAATAAATAACTTTATTTTTTCGAAAGAATACACCAGAAAAAGAGAGCAAGTGGGGAGGGGGAGCGAGATGGAGAAGAGGTGAGGGGGAGGGAGGGGGGAGAGAGAGAGAGGAAGGAGAGGGAGGGAGACAGAAAGAGAAGGTTAAAAATCAATTTCCTTATACGGTCCTCCGTCCAAATTGCAAATTATTTAATTAATTTGTGTTTGCGAAACAAAACTACTATCCAGCACTAGTGTTTAGGACGATGAAGTTTAAAAATACCTCTAGTCGTGCGTAATTACTTTGATTACGTACTCAATGTGTTATTATCTGTGATATTTCATCAAACCTGTTTTAACAATACCACATGACATCCTCTTCAAGTTTGCATTACTTATACACTATACATGTACACATAGGAAGACGTTTGCTGTCTATAAACCATTACCAAAACAAATGTTTTTTTTAACTATTTTATAAATTGTATTAACATACCTCTATTGCCAATACCATACTTACTAAATATATATATTATACGTGTCGTTGTGGATTTTGTCCATCTCTTGAATCCAACACCGTTTTCATTTTTGTGCTTAGTTTTCCATTATAGAATTATGAATAATTCCATGTCTTGTTTGTTCCATGGTTCGTTCTAGACTACCTTATACTTTTTATACTAATTTGATGATACGCATTGATAACAATACTGTTTATCAGGGGAGAAAATGCGTATAGATGTACACACAAATGATTGAATACAGGTACATAGGAAAAACCTCTGTTAGGAATGTCAATTTAGAGGGACTCTAGAAGTTTTTAATACAAATTAAGAAATAGATAGCATACACATTTGTTGACTGGGTTTGAGGTCAACATGTGCTATGTTGTACCAGAGGACTGAAACAGTCTACAAATGTTTTGTTATACGTTCTACTGTTGGTAATAAAGAAAACGGCAGCGAATTGGAAGGGAGGGGCACTATTGTCTAATGACGGAAATTGTTGACCGGTGACCATTGTTCTCGGGCAAACATCTGGAATTTCATAGTTTATTCTCTATAGAAAATAACAAAGTCACATGTTTTGTCCTTAATTAGAACATAGATCAGTTATCAAAGCACATGCCTTTGAAATACAAAATAGTAAATGATTAATAGATTTTCTTGTCCAGTATATTGTGATCGCGAAAGATTTAAGACTACACGCATTTATTATGGGAACACTGTTGAAAACGTCACTAAGTTTAAATAGTGTTACTTTGAATTATGAAAGAAGCATGTCGAATTGTTCATGTGTATGTAATTCTTGTTTTGGAATCAAGGTCAAATATAAAACCTTGTGGTTTAGTAGACTGAAGTTGGAACAAATGTGAACACTGTCGACATGATATAGTCTACATATAGAGCAGAAAGTTTAAGTGAAATGCGGTCACAGTTCATGTATACAAAATAGTCGACTAAGCTGTTTGACTTCAAGCTGATTTTCTGATTCATGTTTCATACCCCAATAATGAATATTGTCACAGAGTTTGCTACATGTATTTTCCATTCTTGGTCTAATATAAGTAATCTCCATTTTGACCCAATGAATGGATAATTATTTATTGTATATCACTACTGTCATTTTATAACTTCGGACAAAAAACGTTTTATCTAGTTTATTTATTTTTAAATTTTTTTTATCATTTTTATTATTTTGTTTTTTTGGGGTTTTTTTTCAAATAAAAGTACGAATCCTCCATGATATTGTAACTCTTTCACATGTTCTAACACTTGAGAACCTGACCAGCTACTAGAACCACTGAATGAACTGCTGTTATAGGTGTCTCAATCAACAAACACATGGCAATGCCTTTGAAATGCATGTAGAATTTACCTCTTTTGTTAATTTGCTTTTTGTGATTCCAAAGACTGTGTTTTTTCTCATTTGATCATTTAATCAGGGACTTGGATGTAAATATATCATAGTTCGTGATTTAATGAGTAAAGGTTTATACATGTTCTGTAAGGTGCGGGGAGGGGGGTTAGATAGAAATTAGAAATAATATGGTGCATGTTTGTTTAGGGTATAGACATTACAGCTTTGATTGTTTGATATTGACTTTTATTACTAAATGATTGTTTAAAAGTTCTTTCGTTTTGTTTGTCGTTTAATAAAATAACATTATTAAAATCCACTTCAGCGGTTTCATTTTCTATTGTTAAAACTGACTTTACAACAATGCGGTTTAATAATATCTAAATATTAAGTCGAATGACATTAAAATAAATATCAAGTTCATTTGTTTTAAATGAAACTTATTTCGCGGTTACAGCAGCTCGTTTATACAGAAAGAAACGAAAAAACAGAGAACGTGTCAATATTACAAAGTATTGTGCGGTTCTAGATTCTGTTCCTCTTTGTCAGATGTCATAGAAACACGTGTATTATGTTGAGAACGGAAGGGTCTTCCGTTTGATTTCGATAACGTCTTTTCAATGCAACGAAGCAATCAGTCTCTTTGTACATGGTACTATTTCATTTTGTAAATAGACATTCAAGTGCCTTTGTAGTATGAAATATCTGTGAAATGTAATTTCTTCTTTTTTTAGTCATCATTTACCAAAAACGACACTATTTAATATTCGGCACAAGCAACATGAAGAGGCATTTGACAAAGACATGTAGAAATATCTAATGCAGCCGATATAGAAGCATTTGCAAAAGACCATATAGAGTTTCATAATGTATTATAACAATAACGACAAAGAGAATTTGACAAAGACGATATAAATGCGATGTGGAGGCATTGACAATGACGATATCGAGGTACAGAGGTATTTGACAAAGACGATATAAAGGTACTTGACAAAGACGATATAGAGATGTTTGACAAAGACTAGATGTATTTGACAAAAACAGTAGAGACGATTTCGACAATGACGATATGTCTATGACAAAGACGACAGAGGTATTTGATAAAGACGATATAGAGTTGAGAGCGATTTCTGCGTTTTCAGTTTAAAGACTGTCCGACACAAGTTCACATTGGCGAGAAACATACTACACTACTGTATAATATGTTTAACATAATATAACGATAACTTCATAACGAATATACATGTAATCAGATTTGAAAATGGTGATAACATTAATGATAACTATTATGTCCTTTAATTGTCACTATCTTTATAAAACATTCTACCAACTTTACAAATTGGGTATCCAAATATTTTAGACCGTAGTAAATACACCCTTTGTTAAAACTTACAGGACCGAACAGCATTGTTCAATTTGTTTGCCAAAACAGCACCACAAACATGTAAATTTGTATCGTTTTGAAGAACATCATATCGGAATAAGATTTAATAAAAAGAAAATTCTTGCACCAGTATAGTAAATGTAAGTGAGTTAGCCATTGATTATACAAGTAATTCAACCGTGAATTAAATCGATTAACTTAAAGTATTGGAGAAAGATCAAAACAAGAACCGATGTTAAAAATGAACCATTAGAATTTGATTGTCAATAAAGGGATTAAATTGTTAGATATTCATTTCATAACTGATAAAACAAATATTACAACATTTAAATATCTGTTAAAAATTGTGTACTTTAAGTTTGTATGACCGTTTTATCAAAAACGTCAGAAAATGAAATAAAATAGGGGTGACCCAACACTAATTGATATCATTATCGTTCAGAGAGTGTAAATAAAGTCTTTGTGCATGCAATTCATCCGAAGCTGAAAATCTTTATCAATTTCTCTCAGAGAGTGTTTTTTTTTGAAGAGTCTAATTCTAAGTATATCAATGCTTGCCCGAAATCAAACACATTGGGGAAAATAGCGAAAGCTAACCATTTAGTCCCTTTAACAAAACGCTTTGTGAGTAATAAAGTTATTTAATCCGAATCATACAAAAAGAAAATGCCACACATTATTCTATGAATATGCATTAATTTATAAATCATTCGAAATTTATACTTAAGCTATTTTACCTAAGTACTTTAGTGGGGTTTTTTGGGGTATTTCATCCTAAACATGTCGCCTGTTTAATATTGATAGTTATATATTCTTCAGACGTGGAAATTAATGATACATCATTATAAGAAGTACGGGACATCAAGCTTTCAAACACAACTAACCTACATATTAATTAAGAAGTCGTATAGAATCACCAGCTTATAATGATACCCGTTCACCAATCATCTGACAACTGGTGACTTCTGAAAATACGTGCGGAAACCGATATTTCAGGCATCAATAATGTGGAACCTCAGATCTTCAAAAGCTCGCCAGACATAATAAGACTGGTCAAAACGAAAGCAGCCTACAGCACTTCAAACAGAAATTCCTTACACGCGAAATAGTCCACGTCATATGATTTGATTGGGTGAAATGGGGGAATCCCTCTAAAACGAACAATATATTCGTTCGCGTTGAAAGTCCTTTCTATTAGTCAGCCCCAAAAGCGAAATTGTACATTCCATGTTGGAGTTTAATGTCTTGTTTCAGATTACTTTGATTCTAATCATTTTTTTATCTTATGTAACTCAAAAAAGTATCTAATAAGAACTACTTTTTATTTGCGCAGTTATAAGTAAAAGGCGTTGCTGGGCACTTCCGGAAACACAAGTCGAACTTAGCTGAGTTGTCAAGAAACTGATCATTGTAACTCCGGAGAAAGTAATGGGCTATTATGAAAATTTTGGTAATTTTGCCAACTGTAATATTTCTTTTCTTTTACAAAACCCGCGGTTTAGATGGATTTTGGAACGATAACACTGTTAACGGTAAGAAATATGGCGAATTTTCCGACGAAGAGAGACTGGAAATGCTGGAGGCAACGAAACGCATGTTTCAGTTTGGATACGACAACTATATAAAATATGCATTCCCTGACGACGAACTCAATCCAATCTACTGCAGAGGACGGGGACACGACCATGCCGATCCGTATGTACAGATATTTGATCACCAATTTATCAACATCACTTCCTACACCACCTTACCGCATGGGCTTGACTAACCATATACGAGTTTCTTTATAGAGTCAGAGTACTTATAAATATGACGACGAAATCATAGCCACTAAGTATTTGATTCATTAAACAAGTCCATGTTTTGACACATAACCATGGGAATAGTGTAGGGGTGAATTTTATGTATGCACATACCAAGAAAGTAAGAAATAATTAATTCCAAGAGAACGAAAAAATTTAATAAAACTCAAATTTCCTATATAAATCTACATAAATAGATTTTTAAAGTCTAACATGTTAAATGAAATAATATCAATAACGAGAATTTTTGAAATTGACAATTTGTTTTTTTCAGGGAGTGAAAACTTGTATGCGGCACTCAGCAGAGACAATTTCTGATTTTTTACAAATGATTTATTGTTATATATTTATATATTATCTAAAATGATTATTGTTTTTAAATATAATTACCAAACGTACGTAATAAGTAATCATAATATTAATAAAAAAAATAGGCTTTCATGTCGAACTGCATCCTTGTCCCAAGGCCTGGTAACATTTTTCTTTCTTACTCTAAGAATAGCTGAATGTTCTACACATTTGTCACATTATAACAAACATGCATCAGACTGAAGGAGTGATCTTCCAGTAGAACGGGGCCGGGTCTGTAAACAAATGCCCCATGATTGTAATAAATGCAAGATTAGATTTGAATTATGCTCTTTTTTTTTTGGTAAAACTGACATATTTACAATCAGATAGGTATGAATATTGTTTGGATTTTCAAAAAATATGAAATCAAACCGTATAATAGCTGTAACTTGCAAAAAAGTGAAAAATTTCACAATGGAGTGTGGCATACAAGTATTCATCCTCTGAAAAAAATAAATCGTCGGTTTAAAAAAATCTTTATATTATTACATTCAATTTTAGAAATATTTCAGTAGATTTATGTAAAAAAAACTGAGATTTATTAGGTTTTCTTATCTCAATATATTCATTATTTCTTACCTTCCTGGTATGGGTATCGGGGCCAGGGATGCGAACGGCATACAGAAATTCACCCCCACCTAGTAATAAGATCTTTCTGATTTTTAATGTAAGTACCTGTATTTTTATTATACAGGATCTACATGTAGCCATTCACAGATAACGGGTCCCACAATACACAAAATTTTGTATTTCCAGAAATTCCAGATATTAGTATTGAATTGATAATTTATATGCTGAAAACTTTCTTCACATGTATTTCTTCATGGAGACAAGAAATTAACACATTTTTCAACACAAGGCACAGATCAATTCATATACATACATTTGTCCCTTTTTGCCAACTGATTAGCTGAAATAATGCATTTTGTAGCTCTTATGATATCAAATATGTGAAAATTGTATTTATATCCATGCTACAAGAACACCTTATTGTTGGAACGGAAATTGAATCACTTCTTTGAATTTGCAGGTCTAATATCAACATCAATGATGCTCTTGGTGACTATATCCTGACACTGGTTGACTCACTGGACACTCTTGCAGTGGGTATTAGTATGATATGTTTAGTCTTTATATAACTGCAGTATATATTTTGACTACAGTTTTAATCTGGCTGTGTACAGTACTAATAAAACTACGAATAAACATTGAGTTTCCTATGGTTGTATGTGTTAACGTAACTCTCAGTAAAATCAGACCAGATTGACTCACTTCATTGACCTTCACCTTCAATGATTACAATGTAATTAGTTGAAGCAACCTCTTATGTGTTACACCTGCAAGTAATGTTGAAATAAGTAACAGTCAAAGTCCAAACTGAATGTCAATTTCACATCTAACCTGTGCTAACCTGAAGAAAGCTGACTCATGATCTTTTAGCTGTAATCAATTAATAAAAGGTGAAAAGGTCATCTTGTGGGACAGTATAATGTGTTAAGATGACTCGTCAATACCCAAAGACTTGAATCCTATATGTAACTACTCACACACATTTATATTTAGCCATTTGTAAGATTACACTTTTATATATAGGTGTATGTAACTATACACATTTTTACATAGTTGTATGTAACTACATGTGTATAGCTGTATGTAATTACATGTTTATATATTCAGTTGTAACTGTATGTAACTCTTCATGTTTTTACATAGCTGTATTTAATTCTTCAATTTAATATGACTGTATGTAACTTTACATGTCTAGGTGTAGCTGTATGTAACTCTATTATATAGATATATGTAGTTCTTCACATTTATAATAGCTGTATGTAACTTTACACATTTAGATATAGCTGTATGTAACTTTACACATTTAGATAGAGCTGTTTGTAACTTTACACATTTAGATAGAGCTGTTTGTAACTACATCTTAACACTGACTCTATTTAACTAATTAAGCATACTCTACTTAACTTTTGGTGTGTTTTTGATATTTGACGTGTCGTTTCTGTTTAACAGATAATGGGTAACAGTTCAGAGTTTAAGCGTGCAGTGAATTTGGTTGTGGAAAATCTATCATTTGAGAAAGCCAATACAATCCAAGTCTTCGAGGCAACAATTAGGTTGGTGTTTTGTTGATATACCTGAGGCTACTAGCCTTGATCTATGTAATAAACCATTGAGTAAAGAAAATATAAAAAGCCAACAAATAGTACTTTGTTCAGAATTTTGTTTCATGTAAAAAATGGCTGTAAATTATTACAAAATCTGATGTAATAAATATCTAAAGTAACAATATTGATTTAGAAATATTGGACGCTGCATAATACCTGTTTACTCAACTAATGATAATTAAGTTTTACGGCTATAACCGTGTTGTTGTTTTTTTATTATTATTTTTAAATGAAAACTCTCATTTGGACATACAGTTCCAGCATAGTTGGTTATGATGATAAGTTAAGTTGGTAAATCTCTTGCATACTACACATATCTTCATTAACTATTTAGTGATACCCTTGTACCAGTTTTAACTTAATGTTTTTGTTTTATGATGTACAGGGTTCTTGGTTCTCTGTTGTCTGCCCACCTTATCATAACAGACCCTGACCAACCATTTGGCGACATGGTCCCTCCTCATTATGACAATGAGCTTCTTTCATTGGCCAGTGACCTTGCCACAAGACTTCTTCCAGCTTTTGAGAATACAGCTACTGGAATTCCATTTCCAAGGGTCAGTGTTAATTAACTTTCACATTTTTGTTGATACAATGTTTAGGGACTGCAATACCAGCATCAAACTTTGCAACTTTAGGTGAAGATCTGAGATGTGTGAACCAATCAATCACTGTATAGGACAGTTTCAGTTTCTTATGATCGAGTGTAAATCCGAGGTGTGTGAATCGGTCCCTACATGGGACAGTTTCTGTTTCTTATGGTCGAGTGTAAATCCAAGGTGTGTGAATCAGTCCCTACATAGTACAATTTCTGTTTCTCAGATGGAGATCTGAGGTGTGTAATTCAATCTGTATGTAGGACAGTTTCAGTTCCTCAGGTGAAGATTCGAGGTGTGTGATTAAATCTGTACATAAGACAGTTTCTGTTCAACAGGTGAAGATTCAAAGTGTGTGATTAAATATGTACGTAGGACAGTTTCAGTTTCTCAGGTGAAGATCTGAAGTGTGTGATTAAATCTGTATGTAGGACAATTTCAGTTCCTCAGGTGAAGATTTAAGGTGTATGATTTTCATCCCTACATAGTACATTTTCAGTTCGTCAGGTGAAGATTCGAGGTATGTGATTTAATCCCGACATAAGACAGTTTCTGTTTCTCAGGTGAAGATTTATGATTTATGATTAAATCCCTGTGTAGGACAGTTTCTGTTGTGATTCAACCCTTACATAGGGTAGTTTCTTGAAGCTGTGATAAAGATCATGTGATTCGTACAGCATGTGTTGGGCCATCTTCATGAGATTCATTGAGTTATCCACCGTTTTTATGAGGATTTCCCTTCTCAAAATAATTGTTGCTGTTCATAGGATGATAAACCTTACAAATGAATAAGCGCAATTGTTTTGACTCTAATGTTCAGTTAATGAGGAAAATGATTAAAAGTTTTTTTTTGTAATTTTACTAATGATAAAATATTGTTTTGTGTTAATTCTTGACTAGTAATTTATGTAAAATGTGCTGACTTTTACAGGTTAACTTGAAACATGGTGTGCCAATAAATAGTGTAAATACAACTTGTACAGCAGGGGCTGGTACCCTGGTCCTTGAATTTGGTGTGTTGTCACGGTTATTAGGAGATCCAACATACGAATCATTTGCTCGTCGGGCGGTTAAGAAACTTTGGTCATTTCGTTCCAATATAACAGGAATGCTGGGTAAGAATTTATTGTTGGATAAGGTAATAGCTGATAATATATGAACTTGAATTAAGAATTAAAATAAGGATGCAATAATTCTAATAATTTCATGAAAATCTTCAAGCAATTTTAGTACATGTAGGGTATTTTATAAATCAATTTAAAAAAAATAAAGTTAAATCAGAAATTAAAGACATGGTTTCTGGCTGAGTATGTGGATATTGTGGAATTCAAAGTATTGATTGATCAATTTTGTTACCCCAAAACATACTACATTGTATTGAAGTTACAATATTTTACAGTGATGGAAAACTATTACCACAGAAAATACGTTCAAATGTATAATTGTTGCACTGAAAAGAAGTTCAAATGTGTAATTTTTGCTTTGAAGGTGATGTCATCAATGTACAGACTGGGGAGTGGGTTGGTGAGATGAGTGGTCTGGGAGCAGGACTGGATTCTTTCTTCGAATATTTGCTGAAGGTAAAAACAGAAGGAGAAGAGTTCAGTATTCATCATGGATTTTAGTCTGCCATTAGCAGATGGTGGGGAGGTGGTAAATTAAAATCATTCCCTGTCTATGGTCTGTTCACCCATCAGTTATTTTGTCTATCAGTACAATTCTTATAATTGCTATTTCCAAGGAACTGCTTCAGGGATCTTCCTGAATCCTCAGAGATATCATAAGGATACATTATTCCTTTGACTTCTTGACTGTTAAGTAGACTGTGTGTGAGGTAACATTATACATTAGACTGTGTGTGAGGTAACATTATACATTAGACTGTGTGTGAGGTAACATTATACATTAGACTGTGTGTGAGGTAACATTATACATTAGACTGTGTGTGAGGTAACATTATACATTAGACTGTGTGTGAGGTAACATTATACATTAGACTGTGTGTGAGGTAACATTATACATTAGACTGTGTGTGAGGTAACATTATACATTAGACTGTGTGTGAGGTAACATTATACATTAGACTGTGTGTGAGGTAACATTATACATTAGACTGTGTGTGAGGTAACATTATACATTAGACTGAGGTAACAGTATACATTAGACTGTGTGTGAGGTAACATTATACATTAGACTGTGTGTGAGGTAACATTATACATTAGACTGTGTGTGAGGTAACATTATACATTAGACTGTGTGTGAGGTCACATTATACATTAGACTGTGTGTGAGGTAACATTATACATTAGACTGTGTGTGAGGTAACATTATACATTAGACTGTGTGTGAGGTAACATTATACATTAGACTGTGTGTGAGGTAACATTATACATTAGACTGTGTGTGAGGTAACATTATACATTAGACTGTGTGTGAGGTAACATTATACATTAGACTGTGTGTGAGGTAACATTATACATTAGACTGTGTGAGGTAACATTATACATTAGACTGTGTGAGGTAACATTATACATTAGACTGTGTGTGAGGTAACATTATACATTAGACTGTGTGTGAGGTAACATTATACATTAGACTGTGTGTGAGGTAACATTATACATTAGACTGTGTGTGAGGTAACATTATACATTAGACTGTGTGAGGTAACATTATACATTAGACTGTGTGTGAGGTAACATTATACATTAGACTGTGTGTGAGGTAACATTATACATTAGACTGTGTGTGAGGTAACATTATACATTAGACTGTGTGTGTGAGGTAACATTATACATTAGACTGTGTGTGAGGTAACATTATACATTAGACTGTGTGTGAGGTAACATTATACATTAGACTGTGTGTGAGGTAACATTATACATTAGACTGTGTGTGAGGTAACATTATACATTAGACTGTGTGTGAGGTAACATTATACATCAGACTGTGTGTGAGGTAACATTATACATTAGACTGTGTGTGAGGTAACATTATACATTAGACTGTGTGTGAGGTAACATTATACATTAGACTGTGTGTGAGGTAACATTATACATTAGACTGTGTGTGAGGTAACATTATACATTAGACTGAGGTAACATTATACATTAGACTGTGTGTGAGGTAACATTATACATTAGACTGTGTGTGAGGTAACATTATACATTAGACTGTGTGTGAGGTAACATTATACATTAGACTGTGTGAGAGGTAACATTATACATTAGACTGTGTGTGAGGTAACATTATACATTAGACTGTGTGTGAGGTAACATTATACATTAGACTGTGTGTGAGGTAACATTATACATTAGACTGTGTGTGAGGTAACATTATACATTAGACTGTGTGTGAGGTAACATTATACATTAGACTGTGTGTGAGGTAACATTATACATTAGACTGTGTGTGAGGTAACATTATACATTAGACTGTGTGTGAGGTAACATTATACATTAGACTGTGTGTGAGGTAACATTATACATTAGACTGTGTGTGAGGTAACATTATACATTAGACTGAGGTAACATTATACATTAGACTGTGTGTGAGGTAACATTATACATTAGACTGTGTGTGAGGTAACATTATACATTAGACTGTGTGTGAGGTAACATTATACATTAGACTGTGTGTGAGGTAACATTATACATTAGACTGTGTGTGAGGTAACATTATACATTAGACTGTGTGTGAGGTAACATTATACATTAGACTGTGTGTGAGGTAACATTATACATTAGACTGAGGTAACATTATACATTAGACTGTGTGTGAGGTAACATTATACATTAGACTGTGTGTGAGGTAACATTATACATTAGACTGTGTGTGAGGTAACATTATACATTAGACTGTGTGTGAGGTAACATTATACATTAGACTGTGTGTGAGGTAACATTATACATTAGACTGTGTGTGAGGTAACATTATACATTAGACTGTGTGTGAGGTAACATTATACATTAGACTGTGTGTGAGGTAACATTATACATTAGACTGTGTGTGAGGTAACATTATACATTAGACTGTGTGTGAGGTAACATTATACATTAGACTGTGTGTGAGGTAACATTATACATTAGACTGTGTGTGAGGTAACATTATACATTAGACTGAGGTAACATTATACATTAGACTGTGTGTGAGGTAACATTATACATTAGACTGTGTGTGAGGTAACATTATACATTAGACTGTGTGTGAGGTAACATTATACATTAGACAGAGTGTGAGGTAACATTATACATTAGACTGTGTGTGAGGTAACATTATACATTAGACTGTGTGTGAGGTAACATTATACATTAGACTGTGTGTGAGGTAACATTATACATTAGACTGTGTGTGAGGTAACATTATACATTAGACTGTGTGTGAGGTAACATTATACATTAGACTGTGTGTGAGGTAACATTATACATTAGACTGAGGTAACATTATACATTAGACTGTGTGTGAGGTAACATTATACATTAGACTGTGTGTGAGGTAACATTATACATTAGACTGTGTGTGAGGTAACATTATACATTAGACTGTGTGTGAGGTAACAGAATACATTAGACTGTGTGTGTGGTAACATTATACATTAGACTGTGTGTGAGGTAACATTATACATTAGACTGTGTGTGAGGTAACATTATACATTAGACTGTGTGTGAGGTAACATTATACATTAGACTGTGTGTGAGGTAACATTATACATTAGACTGTGTGTGAGGTAACATTATACATTAGACTGTGTGTGAGGTAACATTATACATTAGACTGTGTGTGAGGTAACATTATACATTAGACTGTGTGTGAGGTAACATTATACATTAGACTGTGTGTGAGGTAACATTATACATTAGACTGTGTGTGAGACTGTGTGTGAGGTAACATTATACATTAGACTGTGTGTGAGGTAACATTATACATTAGACTGTGTGTGAGGTAACATTATACATTATACTGTGTGTGAGGTAACATTATACATTAGACTGAGGTAACATGACTGTGTGTGAGGTAACATTATACATTAGACTGTGTGTGAGGTAACATTATACATTAGACTGTGTGTGAGGTAACATTATACATTAGACTGTGTGTGAGGTAACATTATACATTAGACTGTGTGTGAGGTAACATTATACATTAGACTGTGTGTGAGGTAACATTATACATTAGACTGTGTGTGAGGTAACATTATACATTAGACTGTGTGTGAGGTAACATTATACATTAGACTGTGTGTGAGGTAACATTATACATTAGACTGAGGTAACATTATACATTAGACTGTGTGTGAGGTAACATTATACATTAGACTGTGTGTGAGTTAACATTATACATTAGACTGTGTGTGAGGTAACATTATACATTAGACTGTGTGTGAGGTAACATTATACATTAGACTGTGTGTGAGGTAACATTATACATTAGACTGTGTGTGAGGTAACATTATACATTAGACTGTGTGTGAGGTAACATTATACATTAGACTGTGTGTGAGGTAACATTATACATTAGACTGTGTGTGAGGTAACATTATACATTAGACTGTGTGTGAGGTAACATTATACATTAGACTGTGTGTGAGGTAACATTATACATTAGACTGTGTGTGAGGTAACATTATACATTAGACTGTGTGTGAGGTAACATTATACATTAGACTGTGTGTGAGGTAACATTATACATTAGACTGTGTGTGAGGTAACATTATACATTAGACTGTGTGTGAGGTAACATTATACATTAGACTGAGGTAACATTATACATTAGACTGTGTGTGAGGTAACATTATACATTAGACTGTGTGTGAGGTAACATTATACATTAGACTGTGTGTGAGGTAACATTATACATTAGACTGTAACATTATACATTAGACTGTGTGTGAGGTAACATTATACATTAGACTGTGTGTGAGGTAACATTATACATTAGACTGTGTGTGAGGTAACATTATACATTAGACTGTGTGTGAGGTAACATTATACATTAGACTGTGTGTGAGGTAACATTATACATTAGACTGTGTGTGAGGTAACATTATACATTAGACTGTGTGTGAGGTAACATTATACATTAGACTGTGTGTGAGGTAACATTATACATTAGACTGTGTGTGAGGTAACATTATACATTAGACTGTGTGTGAGGTAACATTATACATTAGACTGTGTGTGAGGTAACATTATACATTAGACTGTGTGTGAGGTAACATTATACATTAGACTGTGTGTGAGGTAACATTATACATTAGACTGAGGTAACATTATACATTAGACTGTGTGTGAGGTTAACACGTGTCATGTTAAACCAGCTGACTAAACTGTTGCCAAGTTTGGTCCGTAGTATTTGTACTGTACCTTCTACCATTGATATCTGAGAAAACAAGTCATCATAGATACCGATAAATATGAATGGTAAGACAACATCTTTTCAAATTAAATGAGTGGAGTAGTGTTTCTTAGAGTAGAAGGAAAGTGACAGTTACTTAATGGCTGAAATTGTCGAGTAAGAGATGTTGATCGGTAACTATTGTTGAGGGGCAAACATCTGAAATTTCAGACTTTATTAATAAGGGAGAACTATAGAGAATAAATAAATAGTAAAGGTGGAACAATTTCTTTTATATAAACGTATATACAAGACATGTGGAAGGAATACATATGTCCACAGAATCCCAATTAAACTCAAATTCAATAAAACCTAGTCAAAATATTAATGAAAGATAAATACAGACTCCTAGATTAGGAGAATAAGACCAAGTGTTGAATTAACATATTATTTTATGTACTTACAAGATGTAAAATAGATAGAAAAAAAATGCTCAAAGCTTTTACTGGTTTAACATTCAGCAAGAGATATAGGTATAAGCTCCTTACCATTTATATTTCCTTTTTCGTGGCAGGTTCCCCCTAATTAGAATGACTGTACTAGTTAATTACATACCATTTAACTTAATAGGTTATTAGACTTGAATCAACTTGATGCTCATTCTGAAAAGATTTATGTCAATCATGTTTAATATTTCACTGTATATAGTATATTAGATATCTATTGGACAGATTGTATCTTATGTCTGTACGATCAGAAGTCATTGAGAAATCATAGAATTTAAATAGTTTTCTACAAATAAAATGTTAAAATAGAAAGAATTTTGTGTCCATCCTTTGTCATACTTATTTGTTTTTAATTGTTATATTTCAGGTGTTTATATTGTTTGGTGAAGACGAGGACTTGAAAATGTTCAATGAATCTTACGAAACTATAAAATTTCACATGAGGAGAGGGTAGGTTTCATCAGATGGTAGGCTGTTCAAATCACCCTACGTCTGGGTCCGTTTGTCCATCTGTAAACAATAATTGTTATCGCTATTTCTCGAGAAGTATTTCTTGGATCTTCTCTAAATTTAATGTGTAAGTTCCCCTTGATCTATAGTTGTGCCTTTTGATTTTGGGACTGATCAGAAAAACGAAATGGCTGACTGGTAGCCATCTTGGATTTTGAATTTGAAAGTTTGTTAACGCTATTTCTTGAAAACCTACTGCATAGATCTTTCTCAAATTTCATATGTGTGTTCCCTTTGATCTCTCCTTGTGTTTGTTCGCTTTTGGGACTGATCAGAAGAAACAAAATGGCTGACAGGTGGCCATCTTGGATTTTGAATTTGAAAGTTTGTTAATGCTATTTCTTGAAAAACTGCTGCATAGATCTTTCTCAAATTTCATATGTATGTTTCCTTTGATCTCTCCTTGTGTTTGTTCGCTTTTGGGGCTGATCAGAAGAAACAAAATGGCTTCCAGGTGGCCATCTTGGATTTTGAATATGAAAGTTTGTTAATGCTATTTCTTGAAAAACTACTGAATAGATCTTTCTAAAATTTGATATGTATGTTCCCTTTGATCTCTCCTTGTGTTTGTTCGCTTTTGGGACTGATCAGAAAGGCAAATTGGCTTCCAGGTGACCATCTTGGATTTGGCAGTAAAGGATTATCGAAGTTCAGAGCAGGGATGGGGGAATTTATATTGGAATCACCCTGTCTGACCAACTGCCCGACTGTCTGACCATCCTACCATCCAACCATCTGTCTGTTCGGAATATTGTGTCAAGTGTATCTAATAAAGTACTGAAGCAATATTTCTCAAACTTAGCATGCTACAACTTAACATGTGTCCATTTGGTGGCCATGGTGACCAAATGAAGACCATTTGGAGGAATCTTGTTGGGACAACCCTTCCAAACTATTGAGGAGTGAGGGGTATTAGTCGGCTATCCTAGCGACAGTTTTAGTCATTGCTATTTCAGCAAAGGATTAATGTTCAAATGTCTTATCATTAAGATCAAAAACAGAGAAGAGAAAATAAGGGAAAAGATTGGACATTCAAAGAACAAATAAAAATCAAACAATATTATGCGTGCCAAGATCCCTCTGGGATCTAAATGAAATTTGATGAAGCTGAAGGAACTGATGTGTCCTTACACTGCAAGTTTTTTGTAGTTTTATGTAACAATGAAAAGAACCAACACCTAGCCTTGTGTTAGAGAAACTTTTGTTGTAGAACCAGGTCTGATTCACTGAATTTAAATGATAAATCATTTTTAATGGCCAGCATATTTATTTTTCTGCAATCGTTTTGAAAATCAGGGGGGGAAATGACCACTAACAATAAATGTATGTGAACTGATAGAAGTTTTCTGTTCTGGTTACTAATACTGTCTTCCATTTAAATACTAGCCTTTTGTATACATATGAGTGTAATTCTGAGTGTATCATATTTTTCTCTAGGAGACAGAGATGTAACACTGGCAACGGTTATCCTCCTATCTATGTCAATGTTAATATGAAAACAGGAATTACCTCCAACAACTGGATAGACTCGCTACAGGCTGCCTGGGCAGGTGTACAGGTAGGTCATTATAGGAGTACAGAAAGGCTGTAGTAGGTGTACAGGTAGGGCATTATAGGAGTACAGAAAGGCTGTAGTAGGTGTACAGGTAGGTCAGATAAGGTGTGTAGGTAGGTTAAAAGTACATATAGGCATACAGGGTGTAAAGGTGTGTCATAGTAGCTTTACAGGTAGGTCATAGTAAGTGTACAGATAGGAAATAATAGGTGCACAGGTATGCTATGGTTGGTGTACTATTAGGTCATATCAGGTGTAAAGGTAGGTCATGGTATGTGGAAAGTTTGATCATAGTAGTTGTACAGATGGGTCATTGAAGGTGTACATGTAGGCTATAGTATGTAGGTCCATAGTGTATATGTCCTTCTGTCTGATTATCATAGGTGTCTGTTTGTTTATCCTACCTCTGATATCTATGTTCTATCCTGTTTGTCTGTTTATCATACCCCTGATATCTATGTTCTATCCTGTGTGTCTGTCTGTTTATCCTACCTCTGATATCTATGTTCTATCCTGTGTGTCTGTCTGTTTATCCTTCCTCTGATATCTATGTTCTATCCTGTTTGTCTGTCTGTTTATCATACCCCTGATATCTATGTTCTATCCTGTTTGTCTGTCTGTTTATCATACCCCTAATATCTATGTTCTATCCTGTCTGTCTGTTTATCATACCCCTAATATCTATGTTTTACCCTGTTTGTCTGTTTATCCTGCCTCTGATATCTATGTTCTATTCTGTGTGTCTGTCTGTTTATCCTACCTCTGATATCTATGTTCTATTCTGTGTGTCTGTCTGTTTATCCTACCTCTGATATCTATGTTCTATCCTGTTTGTCTGTCTGTTTATCATACCCCTGATATATGTGTTCAGTCCTGTGTGTCTGTTTGTGCATCTTTCTCCTGATAAATGTAATGTGAAAATTGTTTTCTTTCTGTTACAGGTACTGAAGGGAGATGTAGAAGAGGCCATCTGTTCTCATGCTCTTTTCTATTCCATTTGGCAAAAATATGGGTTTTTACCAGAACGATTTAATTGGCACTTGAAGGCTCCTGATGTTTTGTTTTACCCCCTGCGACCAGAACTGGTGGAATCTACCTATTTATTATATCAGGCCACCAAGAACCCCTTCTATCTCCATGTGGGCAGGGACATCTTCACCAGTATAGACGAGCACGCCAAGGCCAAGTAAATAAATTATGTGAAAATCATCTCATGAACCTCTCAACAGATTCAGTTTATACATGAATACACATCAAAGTAATACATTTACACCTGTTTTACACTCAAGTAGATTTTTGTGGTCATTAGTCAAGGTTAAAGTGTCAAAAGTTATAATGCAATAACAAGTTTTGAAATAAGTGGTTCAGGGTGGGTACCGGTAGTAAATCAATGTGAGAATCTGCTTTGTTTTAATTTCATGACAAAAGTGTGAGATGTTGTAAATTCAAACTGATTATGATATACAGGTGTGGCTATGGTACTGTACACGATGTCAATACTAAATCCCTGGAGGATCGTATGGAAAGTTTCTTCCTCAGCGAGACGTGTAAATATCTGTATCTGGTAAGTTCACTCAACTGTGTCGCTACATACATAAGTTAGATTCAGATTTCAGATGTCAGGTATATTTCAGATGTCAGGATTAAGTATTGTTTCAAGGTTTTTATTTCATCATTACTTTGATCAAAGATGTTGTTAATTTCTGGCCTCTTTGAATCATCGTGAATTTGATCACTTACAAGACTTACTGTGAATCTTGAAAATAGTCGGTAACATTTAGCAAATTCTTTGAAATCCTGAAGTCTACAACTTGTGGTGGTTTATGTTGATAGAAGTTGTGGAACAGGTATTTATTTATTTTTGATTAAAGAAGCTGTTGTATTGCTTCAAATGGAATCATATTATGATGTAATAGCCTAACCTTGTAAAAGCCATCAACAGAAAACATCCAGAAGAAAACAATTCTCCAGGAACCAGTGTCCAATACATATGTGTGTGTGTGAAAGTTTAAATTAAATTCATGTCAGGAAATTATATCCATGGATGTAAAATGATTATCTGTAATGTTGTTTTGTTCCTACAGTTATTTGATGAAGACAATCACGTAAACAAGGAACAGTCACGGTATATCTTCAGTACAGAGGGTCACCTATTTCCTGTGGATAGAAAACTCCGTTTGAAACCTTGGCAAACTGAGGAATTCAATACATATGCCAAAAAGAAGAAACGGAAAGTTGCTTCTGTTGTCAGTGTAAAGCACAATTCAACTTATTCCAACGTATGTAGAAATCAATGTTTATATAATCTTCAAACACAAAAACCAAAAACTAAATAAAATATATTATTATTGATAGAAGCATGGCCCCTGATCCACCTTATGATTCTGTACTTGTCAGATAAGGAGAAATTAGATACATCTGCTAGTGGTAGAAGCTTGGCCCCTGATCCACCTTATGATTCTGTACTTGTCAGATAAGGAGAAATTAGATACATCTGCTAGTGGTAGAAGCTTGGCCCCTGATCCACCTTATGATTCTGTACTTGTGTGATAAGGAGAAATTAGATACATCTGCTAGTAGTAGAAGCTTGGCTCTTGATCCACCTTATGATTCTGTACTTGTGTGATAAGGAGAAATTAGATACATCTGCAAGTGGTAGAAGCTTGGCTCTTGATCCACCTTATGATTCTGTACTTGTCAGATAAGGAGAAATTAGATACATCTGCTAGTGGTAGAAGCTTGGCCCCTGATCCACCTTATGATTCTGTACCTTTATGCTAGTGGTCTGTACTTGTGTGATAAGGAGAAATTAGATACATCTGCTAGTGGTAGAAGCTTGGCCCCTGATCCACCTTATGATTCTGTACTTGTCAGTAAGGAGAAATTAGATACATCTGCTAGTGGTAGAAGCTTGGCCCCTGATCCACCTTATGATTCTGTACTTGTCAGATAAGGAGAAATTAGATACATCTGCTAGTGGTAGAAGCTTGGCCCCTGATCCACCTTATGATTCTGTACTTGTGTGATAAGGAGAAATTAGATACATCTGCTAGTGGTAGAAGCTTGGCCCCTGATCCACCTTATGATTCTGTACTTGTCAGATAAGGAGAAATTAGATACATCTGCTAGTGGTAGAAGCTTGGCCCCTGATCCACCTTATGATTCTGTACTTGTGTGATAATGATTATTTAGATACATCTGCTAGTGGTAGAAGCTTGGCCCCTGATCCACCTTATGATTCTGTACTTGTCAGATAAGGAGAAATTAGATACATCTGCTAGTGGTAGAAGCTTGGCCCCTGATCCACCTTATGATTCTGTACTTGTGTGATAAGGAGAAATTAGATACATCTGCTAGTGGTAGAAGCTTGGCTCTTGATCCACCTTATGATTCTGTACTTGTGTGATAAGGAGAAATTAGATACATCTGCTAGTGGTAGAAGCTTGGCTCTTGATCCACCTTATGATTCTGTACTTGTGTGATAAGGAGAAATTAGATACATCTGCTAGTGGTAGAAGCTTGGCTCTTGATCCACCTTATGATTCTGTACTTGTGTGATAAGGAGAAATTAGATACATCTGCTAGTGGTAGAAGCTTGGCTCTTGATCCACCTTATGATTCTGTACTTGTGTGATAAGGAGAAATTAGATACATCTGCTAGTGGTAGAAGCTTGGCTCTTGATCCACCTTATGATTCTGTACTTGTGTGATAAGGAGAAATTAGATACATCTGCTAGTGGTAGAAGCTTGGCTCTTGGTCTACCTTTATGATTCTGTACTTGTGTGATAAGGAGAAATTAGATACATCTGCTAGTGGTAGAAGCTTGGCTCTTGGTCTACCTTTATGATTCTGTACTTGTGTGATAAGGAGAAATTAGATACATCTGCTAGTGGTAGAAGCTTGGCTCTTGATCCACCTTATGGTTCTATACTTGTGAGATAAGGAGAAATTAGATACATCTGCTAGTGGTAGAAGCTTGGCTCCTAGTCTACCTTTGTGATTCTGTACTTGTGTGATAAGGAGAAATTAGATACATCTGCTAGTGGTAGAAGCTTGGCTCTTGGTCTACCTTTATGATTCTGTACTTGTGTGATAAGGAGAAATTAGATACATCTGCTAGTGGTAGAAGCTGGGCTCTTGATCCACCTTATGGTTCTGTACTTGTGTGATAAGGAGAAATTAGATACATCTGCTAGTGGTAGAAGCTTGGCTCTTGGTCTACCTTTATGATTCTGTACTTGTGTGATAAGGAGAAATTAGATACATCTGCAAGTGGTAGAAGCTTGGCTCTTGATCCACCTTATGATTCTGTACTTGTGAGATAAGGAGAAATTAGATACATCTGCTAGTGGTAGAAGCTTGGCTCTTGATCCACCTTATGATTCTGTACTTGTGTGATAAGGAGAAATTAGATACATCTGCTAGTGGTAGAAGCTTGGCTCTTGATCCACCTTATGATTCTGTACTTGTGTGATAAGGAGAAATTAGATACATCTGCTAGTGGTAGAAGCTTGGCTCTTGATCCACCTTATGATTCTGTACTTGTGTGATAAGGAGAAATTAGATACATCTGCTAGTGGTAGAAGCTTGGCTCTTGGTCTACCTTTATGATTCTGTACTTGTGTGATAAGGAGAAATTAGATACATCTGCTAGTGGTAGAAGCTTGGCTCTTGGTCTACCTTTATGATTCTGTACTTGTGTGATAAGGAGAAATTAGATACATCTGCTAGTGGTAGAAGCTTGGCTCCTGCTCTACCTTATGGTTCTGTACTTGTGAGATAAGGAGAAATTAGATACATCTGCTAGTGGTAGAAGTTAGGCCCCTGGTCTAACTTTATGATTCTGTACTTGTGTGATAAGGAGAAATTAGATACATCTGCTAGTGGTAGAAGCTTGGCCTTGGTCTACCTTTATGATTCTGTACTTGTGTGATAAGGAGAAATTAGATACATCTGCTAGTGGTGTGATAAGGAGAAATTAGATACATCTGCTAGTGGTAGAAGCTTGGCTCTTGGTCTACCTTTATGATTCTGTACTTGTGTGATAAGGAGAAATTAGATACATCTGCTAGTGGTAGAAGCTTGGCTCTTGATCCACCTTATGTTCTGTACTTGTGAAATAAGGAGAAATTAGATACATCTGCTAGTGGTAGAAGCTTGGCTCCTGGTCTACCTTATGGTTCTATACTTGTGAGATAAGGAGAAATTAGATACATCTGCTAGTGGTAGAAGCTTGGCTCTTGGTCTACCTTTATGACTCTGTACTTGTGTGATAAGGAGAAATTAGATACATCTGCTAGTGGTAGAAGCTTGGCTCTTGGTCTACCTTTATGATTCTGTACTTGTGTGATAAGGAGAAATTAGATACATCTGCTAGTGGTAGAAGCTGGGCTCTTGATCCACCTTATGGTTCTGTACTTGTGAAATAAGGAGAAATTAGATACATCTGCTAGTGGTAGAAGCTTGGCTCCTGGTCTACCTTATGGTTCTATACTTGTGAGATAAGGAGAAATTAGATACATCTGCTAGTGGTAGAAGCTTGGCTCTTGATCCACCTTATGGTTCTATACTTGTGAGATAAGGAGAAATTAGATACATCTGCTAGTGGTAGAAGCTTGGCTCCTGGTCTACCTTATGGTTCTATACTTGTGAGATAAGGAGAAATTAGATACATCTGCTAGTGGTAGAAGCTTGGCTCTTGATCCACCTTATGGTTCTGTACTTGTGTGATAAGGAGAAATTAGATACATCTGCTAGTGGTAGAAGCTTGGCTCTTGATCCACCTTATGGTTCTATACTTGTGAGATAAGGAGAAATTAGATACATCTGCTAGTGGTAGAAGCTTGGCTCTTGATCCACCTTATGGTTCTATACTTGTGAGATAAGGAGAAATTAGATACATCTGCTAGTGGTAGAAGCTTGGCTCCTAGTCTACCTTTGTGATTCTGTACTTGTCAGATAAGGAGAAATTAGATACATCTGCTAGTGGTAGAAGCTTGGCTCCTGGTCTACCTTTGTGATTCTGTACTTGTCAGATAAGGAGAAATTAGATACATCTGCTAGTGGTAGAAGCTTGGCTCCTGGTCTACCTTATGGTTCTGTACTTATGAGATAAGGAGAAATTAGATACATCTGCTAGTGGTAGAAGTTAGGCCCCTGGTCTAACTTTATGATTCTGTACTTGTGTGATAAGGAGAAATTAGATACATCTGCTAGTGGTAGAAGTTAGGCCCCTGGTCTAACTTTATGATTCTGTACTTGTGTGATAAGGAGAAATTAGATACATCTGCTAGTGGTAGAAGTTAGGCCCCTGGTCTAACTTTATGATTCTGTACTTGTGTGATAAGGAGAAATTAGATACATCTGCTAGTGGTAGAAGTTAGGCCCCTGGTCTAACTTTATGATTCTGTACTTGTCAGATAAGGAGAAATTAGATACATCTGCTAGTGGTAGAAGTTAGGCCCCTGGTCTTCCTTTATGGTTCTGTACTTGTGAGATAAGGAGAAATTAGATACATCTGCTAGTGGAGGTGTACCTTTATGATTCTGTACTTGTGTGATAAAGAGAAATTAGATACATCTGCTAGTGGTAGAAGTTAGGCCCCTGGTCTAACTTTATGATTCTGTACTTGTGTGATAAGGAGAAATTAGATACATCTGCTAGTGGTAGAAGTTAGGCCCCTGGTCTAATTTTATGATTCTGTACTTGTACTATAAGGAAGAAAAAATCTGTCAAATGGAGGGAAGATCTAATTGATGTTTTTATTTGATATTTTAAAAAGATTAACCTTTATGTAAAAATCTCATTCACTGATATGTTTAGCAGTAATGCATTGACAGGACCTTTGTTAATTTCATTTCTTAATTGTATATAAGCAAAAAAGTGACTTGATTGAAATCCTATTTTTCTGGTTTAATTGTCTCATGTTTTCACTCTATAAAGTATCCTATGATGTGTTTTGATAGATGTTTTCTCTCTTTGTAGTGTGATAACATTCCAACAGAACGTCGCTACTTCATGCCTATACTCAGTCCCTACTTGGAGCAGGTCCAGGATACCATTGGACTGAGCTGACCTATAATAAAAAGCATATCTCTTTGTTGGTGTTTACCATACAACAGTATTTGATTGTGTCGCCACAGTGCAGTTATGAATTTGTTGTCATGGTGAGGATTGTACATTATCGTTGTGAAGAATATAAAGCTTTGTTACTAGTGAAGATTGTACAACTTTGTTGTCAGGATGAAGATTGTACAACTTTGTTGTCAGGACGAAGATTGTACAACTTTGTTGTCAGGACGAAGATTGTACAACTTTGTTGTCAGGACGAAGATTGTACAACTTTGTTGTCAGGATGAAGATTGTACAACTTTGTTGTCAGGACGAAGATTGTACAACTTTGTTGTCAGGATGAAGATTGTACAACTTTGATGTTAGGATGAAGATTGTACAGATGAAGATTGTACAACTTTGATGTTACAACTGAAAATTGTACAACTTTTGTTGTACAACTTTGTTGTCAGTATGAAGATTGTACAACAACTTTGTTGTCAGGATGAAGATTGTACAACCTTGTCACAAGTGAAGATTGTACAACCTTGTCACAAGTGAAAATTGTACAACTTTGTCACAAGTGAAGAATGTACAACCTTATTGTCAGGATGAAGTCTGTACAACCTTATTGTCAGGATGAAGATTGTACAACTTTGTTGTCAGGACGAAGATTGTACAACTATGTTGTCAGGACGAAGATTGTACAACTTTGTTGTCAGGACGAAGATTGTACAACTTTGTTGTCAGGACGAAGATTGTACAACTTTGTTGTCAATACGAAGATTGTACAACTTTGTTGTCAAGACGAAGATTGTACAACTTTGTTGTCAGGATGAAGATTGTACAACTATGTTGTCAGGATGAAGATTGCACAACTTTGTTGTCAGTATGAAGATTGCACAACTTTGTTGTCAGGATGAAGATTGTACAACCTTGTCACAAGTGAAGATTGTACAACCTTGTCACAAGTGAAAATTGTACAACTTTGTCACAAGTGAAGAATGTACAACCTTATTGTCAGGATGAAGTCTGTACAACCTTATTGTCAGGATGAAGATTGTACAACTTAATCTATATGGTGAAGGTTGTACTTGACATTTTTGTGTGAAATGAAGCTATTGACTTTGACAATCTTGTTGTAGATATGATAGCATGTACCATCAAGTGACAATTTCTGTAGTTACCATGATCTATATGTAATGAACCTGTTTCTGATGGTGATGGTTGTCACCACTTTGTATGTATGGGGTCCATCAATAACTGTAATAATTACATAAAGTCACTCCATAAATCTCTCAGGATCCAGATGGACACCTGCAAACTAACAAATTCATGTGTTCTTAATTCTGTTTTAATTTATTTAACGATGTCATGATTTCTGTGTGTCGGTTACATCATTAATAGTATATGCAGGGCAGTGTTTTACTCAGCACTTCCTCAGTATGTATAGATAGGCTGTTGTATCTACAATGTTGAGCTATGCAAATTTCAAAGATGAGTGAATGTAAGAATGTGTAGAAGATAGAACTCACAATCCCTGACCAACTATAGTTGAAAGATAGTGGAAATTATTAATTGATGTTTTCTCTTTAGACGAAACTTTCAGCTTCCACCATGGATTATTGACTACGTTAAGTGGTTTTACTCCAGTTTGTCATCCAATGATTCTTTTATGGAAAGCATTTAGAAATTTCTATAGTTTCTATAGTCCTAATGATTTCTTAACAGATTTTCAGAATGTTCAAAATGCATATTGCTGTTTTCCTTAAAATTGAACTAGATATTGGAAGTATATAATTATCATGAAAGTATTTTACAGGTGAATAATTTTCTAGTTAAAAGATGATACATGTATTTTCAGTAGATTTGGCAAATCACAAGGTATGAAAGATTAAGTTGGTACAATGTAATTAAAATCCTAACTATGAGGACTGAATACACATTGATTATTCTATGTTGGGATGAGTGATCTCCCTTGTCTTGACTAACAGTATTGTTTGTCATTCATTTTGTACAACATGCGCTTTATAGTCCAAAAAATGTTTTTACACAGATATGACATAGTAGAAAAGATATGTTGTTCTTGTGTTTTATAAACATATTTTTATAAATCTTGTACATGTTATTAAAGTGCTCTTTTTTGTGCAAACAATATCTTACTTTTATAGACAGAATTTTGTGCCATATTGTCAAAATCAAAAATTAAATTTCCCCTGGTTTTTTGGTAAATGTACAATTTGAAATATGATTTATTTTTTATAATTTTTCCCCCCATCAAAAATGTCTTAAAATCATATTTCCCAAATACGTGATTCTGTATCACAACTTATACATTGAAAGATACTTAGAAGATTGGTTCCAGCCTGCCTAGACTTACTACACATGTATCATGAAAGGCAGTTAATAAAAAAAATATTAGGTCCAGTAGTTGGTACTGAATTTACTGTGACATTTTGTGAAACATTTTCTTCAGGTTTTAAGTTTATTTAGAATGTAATTTCTTATCTCACAACCAACCCAGGTTGTGAATGAGATCTATTCACTATCACAACATTCATAGAAACCCTGATAACCTTCCTTAGGTTTAAAATGATATTGTTCTATACAGTAAATAAAAGTACCACATGGAATAGAGTTGGTGAGTTAATTAGACTGTTTCATTGAAAATGTAATGATATCACTCCCTAAAATGGCTATATTGTTTCAAGCAGTGTGTATAATTTTACTTTCAATAATACCATAAAAATAAAAAAAGGCCAAAATGAAAAGAAAACCAGATGTTTAGTTTGATATGAATTACGACATTATTTTTAACGCAGTGGCTGTAAAATATCAAACAATATGCAAAAAATTGATTAGGACTTTGTCAATGAAACATTTCCCCTCTACAGGACTGTTGGTTATTTTTAAACATTACATAACACCCATAGAATTTAAAGAATTCAAAAGGAAGTAATAGACTGGAAATCCAACTGTTTATCTTTGACAGAAGTGACTGTGTCATTTAGATATTGTACTTGTCTATGACTAGCCTCTATATGAACTAATCTATATGTTACCTTCCCAATTGTTGATCCAACAGTTCTGTTTTATAGTTTTCAAGTTTAGTTTTCACCACCTTAAAGATGATATGTGAGGACTAGGTATGAGTGACAAGTTCTGACTGTGATGTTTTGTTTAAACATTAAATACTGTATACTTTTTTGTTGCCTAAATTTTATATCATTCTTTTAAATGGTGTATTAAATTTATTGCCTGAAAAATAAAAAACATCTTGATTTTGCAATATTTATCTGACAATATTTAATAAGTCCATGCCTTAACATTTGTAGTAGAATTACCTATAGATACTGTATATCCTTGTCTTGTATTAAGCCCATCCGAATACATATAGTCTAGGGCTTTAATGTTTGTTCTCCAGGCTTATACTATTATATGTATGTGTGATGGGATTCAGATTTTGTGTGAAGTTATAAGACTTTAGACTGTGATGTAAGAATGCATAAGGTATTCATGTTTTATATGTGTATATCAGAAATGTCCTGATTACTGACAAAATGTGTTAAAATTTCCGATCCAAAAAATGTACATGTATTATCATTAAACAATGTTTAATCAATTCACTTCCATCCTTGTTGCATGGTTCATTAAACTAAAAACAGATAACTTCAAGATGGATTATTTTTAAGATATTATACATAAAGCAGTGTTTAGGTCACAGTCCTATGGTGACCAATCACCTTCATCCGGCGTCGTACATTCGTAAACAATTTAACATTTTCATCTTCTTCTCAAATTCTCTTAAACCGATGTCAGTGAAATTTTGAAGAAATCTTCCCTGGCCTAAGATGAAGCAAAATTTCCTTACCCCATGGGGGCCTGAGGGGTGTGGCCAAAAGGGTCAAATTAAGTCAGATTTCAAAAATCTTCTCCTCAACATCCTGAGATGGTAGTATCAAATGCTCTTCATGGATGGAAGCGTCTTAAAGTGGTTTACAAAAATTGTGAATTTCATGGCCCTTGGGTCTCACATTTCCATGTTGGGAGGGGGTAAAGTTTGCTAAAGTGTATATAGGAAAAATAGATTTTTGAGTATAATATCTTTAATTTCCATTGGAAATATTTCAAACTTGGGGCTGTTAGGAAGGTCCAAATGGGGTCAAATTGACAGATTTCAAAAATCTTCTTCTCAACACCCAGGTACACTGTATGGACAAATCAAATCTCGTCTTGGATGGAAGTATCTGAAGGTGCATTAATTACCAAAATGGGTCTCACATTTCTTCCTGGTGAGGAGGTTAACTTTACTATAATTTTTTTTATAGAAAACTTACATTTTGCAACAATGTTGATTTCCCACTGGAAATAACTTTGTAAGATTGTAAGTATAGGATGACAGATTTGATGGTAGGCATGTATTGACACTGGCTTGCTATCATCAATGTCACAATTTCATTTCCATGACACCTGAAAGCTACATTCCCTTTAAAATTCATATTCAATATTGCTTATCTCAGGTGACGGTCAAGTACACTAGGACTAGTTTTTTTCTAATTATTTTTAAAAATAACGAAGCATTGTCCGAAATAATATATATTAAGAATAATTCTCTGCCTTATGATGGTATAGCCACTGTGGTTAAGACAAAGAATGATTGTCTCTGTCTGGAGATGGTACAGCCACTGTGGTTAAGGTATAGAATGATTGTCTCTGCCTGGAGATGGTACAGCCACTGTGGTTAAGGTATAGAATGATTGTCTCTGCCTGGAGATGGTACAGCCACTGTGGTTAAGGTATAGAATGATTGTCTCTGTCTGGAGATGGTACAGCCACTGTGGTTAAGGTATAGAATGATTGTCTCTGTCTGGAGATGGTAAAGCCACTGTGGTTAAGGTACAGAATGATTGTCTCTGTTTGGAGATGGTACAGCCACTGTGGTTAAAGTATAGAATGATTGTCTCTGCCTGGAGATGGTATAGCCACTGTGGTTAAGGTATAGAATGATTGTCTCTGCCTGGAGATGGTAGAGCCACTGTGGTTAAGGTATAGAATGATTGTCTCTGCCTGGAGATGGTACAGCCACTGTGGTTAAGGTATAGAATGATTGTCTCTGTCTGGAGATGGTACAGCCACTGTGGTTAAGGTATAGAATGATTGTCTCTGCCTGGAGATGGTACAGCCACTGTGGTTAAGATATAGAATGATTGTCTCTGCCTGGAGATGGTAGAGCCACTGTGGTTAAGGTATAGAATGATTGTCTCTGTCTGGAGATGGTACAGCCACTGTGGTTAAGGTATAGAATGATTGTCTCTGTTTGGAGATGGTACAGCCACTGTGGTTAAGGTATAGAATGATTGTCTCTGTCTGGAGATGGTAAAGCCACTGTGGTTAAGGTATAGAATGATTGTCTCTGTCTGGAGATGGTACAGCCACTGTGGTTAAGGTAGTGATTGTCTCTGTCTGGAGATGGTACAGCCACTGTGGTTAAGATATAGAATGATTGTCTCTGCCTGGAGATGGTACAGCCACTGTGGTTAAGATATAGAATGATTGTCTCTGCCTGGAGATGGTACAGCCACTGTGGTTAAGATATAGAATGATTGTCTCTGCCTGGAGATGGTAGAGCCACTGTGGTTAAGGTATAGAATGATTGTCTCTGCCTGGAGATGGTACAGCCACTGTGGTTAAGGTATAGAATGATTGTCTCTGTCTGGAGATGGTACAGCCACTGTGGTTAAGGTATAGAATGATTGTCTCTGCCTGGAGATGGTAGAGCCACTGTGGTTAAGATATAGAATGATTGTCTCTGCCTGGAGATGGTACAGCCACTGTGGTTAAGATATAGAATGATTGTCTCTGCCTGGAGATGGTAGAGCCACTTTGGTTAAGATATAGAATGATTGTCTCTGTCTGGAGATGGTACAGCCACTGTGGTTAAGGTATAGAATGATTGTCTCTGTCTGGAGATGGTACAGCCACTGTGGTTAAGGTATAGAATGATTGTCTCTGCCTGGAGATGGTACAGCCACTGTGGTTAAGGTATAGAATGATTGTCTCTGCCTGGAGATGGTACAGCCACTGTGGTTAAGATATAGAATGATTGTCTCTGTCTGGAGATGGTACAGCCACTGTGGTTAAGATATAGAATGATTGATGTTATGTTTGGTATGTTTAACAAATATTTATCTATTATTCATAAGGCTGTAGTTTGATCAGTGATTGGAGAAATTCCATAACAGTGACAGTCAGTGGTCATTTTTTTCAATTGTTAATCTGTCTTGACTGTTCTGTGAAATCCATATCATATTATTGAATGGAAAAAATTACAGTGTTCTTTATCTGGCTCCACCTGGAGACACAAAAAATATATTTTGGTAATCTTTTATTTGAAGTATTTAAGAAATTAAGGTTAAAAAGAATACCTTCTGCATTCATTTAAGTTAGCACCATCTCAATTAAATGTTTTGTTGACTTTTGAAATATTCTGCTAGATAATGACTGCCTTATACATTTCCTAATATTTCCCACAGTATATTTTGTGGGTATACCAATTTGATCACTAACTTAATGATAGACATGGCTATAAGTATATCACGGTAGTCATGATCTGTAACATTATATACCAGTCATTGATTTTCCTTTTTATTCTATTGTTTTTTGTTCTGTTTTTTATATACCCCCTTTTTCAGTGACTTATCCCTATTTTATATAAAAAATTAAAACATTTTTGTCGATCTCTGCATTTGCTCAATTTACAATGGATCTTTTGAAAATTTTACCAATATTTACGATATGGAGATGTGTCCCCTGAAGTTGCTTTGAATTTCCCTCCATATTAAGAGAGGTTTCCCCCTTTTATGAAAGAAATGAACACAATTTTGTCCTGCTATGCATTTTTTCCCCAAATGTTTGGTTGCCATGGTAACTGGTTTGGTTGCCATGGTAAGTGGTTACTGTAAACAGGTTTTATAATAAACAGCCATTACTCCTTGGTCATTCACCAGATTTTATTATTTGACTATGATCCAGTTGTATAACTTATTGAAACCAATTACATCAGGTGTTTCAGAAACAGTTACTATGGCAACAAAATCCTGTCCTTTGAGGAATAAAAATTTAGGTATTATCTTATTTTTAACAAATTTGGTATATAGGAGTATAAGGGGATGCCAAATATTACTGTATGTGTTTCATTGCCATGACAACCATGCTAAGGCAAATGTAAAATCTGATTGGTTGAAATTTAGATATTTACCTGATTTTGACCAAATTTGGCTTATACAGGAGATTAGGGTATGTGGAGTTTGACCAGGGGTCTTTGCACCTGGAGGAGGGGGGTTGTGTTATACTTATCCTCAGGATGAGATTTCTAGTTTATTTTAGAGTAATTCTGAAGTAAAAGTAACTATTTTTTTAGTGTTCCTTTGCAATGCAAATGCTCAGACACAATATTACAACAGTCAATAATTCAACTGATATAAAATAAATATGATAGTGTCACATAAGTTCTGCTCTGATGACCCATTATAACAGAATCCACCTGAAGTAGAACATATGTAAGACTTCCAGATGTCATAAAGTGTCATACAGAAAACTCCTTGTAACATTTGTCTGAAAATCATAAGCTCACAATTAGCTGTTTGTAAGGTAACATATCCATGTGTTGGTTGGTGACACATTCATGCTTTGTCTTCCAGTGAAACTTCTGTCAGGGTTGAAGTGGTATCAAATGATAGGAAATGTTACAGCATCCTTTCTGTGGACATCCAATATCATAACTCAGATTTACTGATCTTCTCTTTACAATGTAAACTGTTGAGTATCTCACAAATATAATGTATATAAAGTAGAACTTGTGTGAAATACTAGTGAATGGTATAACCATTGTGTATCCATATTAGGTTTCATTGATGAACAAATTCAAAATGGCAACAATCTTAATAATACAGTAATTTATCTCTAAATTGAGCCCAGGCTGTAGAAGGTCTTCATACCTCTAAGGTTTTACAGACTGGTGCCTGTAATCTTACGTTTGTCAGATATTTTTAAAAAAAATCCCAGAATAGCATTACTGATCATATGGATGATATTAGTGGCATCTAATGATGGGCACCAAGATTCGTCCATGGATCTCTTGTGTGATGGCAAAAGTTTGTAAAAATGTGTGATGATATACAGTGTACATAGTGTATATCTGTCAAGTTTTGTTTTCATGTTACCTGGCTGCGATATTGTCAATTCACACTTATCCTCAATATTCTTTTCCTATTGTACATTCAGGACGATTTAGATTGTTAGGGGTTTCATTGGAAATTAGACCTGTTCGCATTCACTGAAGTTGTTCTTCAGAAGAATTCAAATTCAATTTAAACTCCAGGTTTAGAAATTGTCACCTATTCCTCTTTGTATAATTAATTATCATTTGATAAGACTTATTTCTAATATCATTTCAGATACATCTTGTATCATAATCAGTTCATACAGGGTAGTTATAGACTTAACTCATAACCTTAACTGTATTATCTTATCTGCTTACCAGACTGTCAGTTAGAAATATCTTCAATCACTTTTTCTTAATCTTCATATGAACTTTTCATTAATATCCAAATGTTAATGGAAATAAATTAGATGATGGGAAATTGAAGTAAAAAAGTACAAATGCAAAGATTTGAAATTGAAGAGAAATAATGTAGTTTCTTGGTGCTACTCATTTCCAGATGTGATACATTCTGGACAGGATTAAGGTATGCTGAGATTATCTGTAAAAGTTTAAAGAATTTATCAATAAAGCTGATTTGAAATCTTACCAATGAAATTATCCAGTTGTTGTGTTGTTATTTGATATTAAAATTGGTCATCTCAGATTGTTTCTCTTGATTGTTTACCTGGTAGGAGCAGGGGTATGATCACTGGAGTATCCTGTATAGAATTATCTAACACCAATGAGATCAATGTCATTTCGTATACATCATTTAGTAAACTATGATACACCATGAAATCACTACCATCAGCTCATTATTTCTGTGATAATAGTGATATGTATGAAGAGGCTTTAAACTGTTTTAATACGAGGTGGCAATTTTGTAACATCTGTCATCCGTCAGTTCCGGTAAACCTACTTGTATACGAGGTAAATCCATATATACTTATCTTTAAGCACGTGATTTCTATACATTACCTCCTGATTTCTGTGGTTTCCTTTTCATTAACCGAAATTATCTCCGCACCACGTGTCCGAAGAAAATCAAACCCGGACCACAGGCTCAATCAATGGCGTCGGAGACTTTCTCCATAATTGTCCCGAGCCACTCAGGACTATACACACCGACATTTTCTTGTCATGAAATAAACTCAGTGATTAAGGATATAAATATTTCAACGAGTTAACAAATCTAACTGTCATTATACGCCCAATACTAACAGGTTTTACTGTTTCACGTGCACAAAAACATTTGCATTTAAGACACAAAAATACTTGAAATCTGATCACGAAATCTCCATATTGAACTCGTCGTGTAAGTAAAGGTGTCCAGATATTTCGCTGTATTTCAATATAAAAAAACACACACAGGGGAAGAAAAAAAGATAAAGTAGCGATATTGTACACAAAGTGGAATTCGCCAACACCATGACGTATCGACTGTTAAAAAGACACAATATATTGGCAGGAGTGAAGTAAGTACGTGCTAATTTTTTTTCAGAAGATTGTATTAATTACCTTGGTGTACATTTCACTTCATAATATCTATGGAAACATCAATACGAATGTTTTACAGCTCGAACAGGAACTCGCGCCGATATCTGATACATCGCCGGCCGTAGCCTACACGCAAGCCCGCTCCTATTAAACTCTTTTGAATTGGATGGGAGTGTTATGACGTCATCAGTTCCTAGAGTTCAGCAGCTCCAGCCCCTCAGTGCAATATTTGTAAACATACAAAAATGTACTGACTTCCGATAATTACATCAGTTCTCACAGTGGACACTAAACTAGAAACACGATGTGTAAGTACCATTAAGTTTGTATCTGTCAAATGTTGATATTCATTATACTCTAAAACTTTTGAAATTTATGAAAATAACTATTTTTGCGGAAAAAATAAGATAAAAATATTTTATTTCCAGCATATGCGTATTATATGAACAAATGTTCCATTCCAAAACACTGTAAAAGTTCAACAACAAAAATAGTAAAACGTTTCTTTAAAAACCAAAAAAAGTAATAAGACTAGAAACGGCAGTTAAAGACAGGTGTTAGTTATAACCAGTTGGTAGTTACAGACAGGTGTTAGTTATAACCAGTTGGTAGTTACAGACAGGTGTTAGTTATAACCAGTTGGTAGTTACAGACAGGTGTTAGTTATAACCAGTTGGTAGTTACAGACAGGTGTTAGTTATAACCAGTTGGTAGTTACAGACAGGTGTTAGTTATAACCAGTTGGTAGTTACAGACAGGTGTTAGTTATAACCAGTTGGTAGTTACAGACAGGTGTTAGTTATAACCAGTTGGTAGTTACAGACAGGTGTTAGTTATAACCAGTTGGTAGTTACAGACAGGTGTTAGTTATAACCAGTTGGTAGTTACAGACAGGTGTTAGTTATAACCAGTTGGTAGTTACAGACAGGTGGTAAGTATAGACAGCTGGTAGGTATAGACAGGTGGTAGAGTAGGTATAGACAGGTGGTAGGTATAGGCAGGTGGTAGAGTAGGTATAGACAGGTGGTAGAGTAGGTATAGACAGGTGGTAGTTATTGACAGGAGGTAGTTATTGACAGGTGATAGGTATAAACAGGTGATAGATATAGACAGGTAGTAGGTATAGACAGGTGGTAGGTATAGACAGGAGGTAGGTATAAACAGGTGATAGATATAGACAGGTAGTAGGTATAGACAGGTGGTAGGTATAGACAGGAGGTAGGTATAGACAGGTGGTAGGTATAGACAGGTCGTAGGTGTTGACAGGTGGTAGGTATAGACAGGAGGTAGGTATAAACAGGTGATAGATATAGACAGGTAGTAGGTATAGACAGGTGGTAGGTATAGACAGGAGGTAGGTATAGACAGGTGGTAGGTATAGACAGGTGGTAGGTATAGACAGGTCGTAGGTGTTGACAGGTGATAAGTATAGACAGGTGATAGTTATTGACAGGCGATATGTATAGACAGGTGATAGGTATAAACAGGTGATAGGTATAGAGAGATGGTAGGTATAAACAGGTGGTAGGTATAGACAGGTGGTAGTTATAGACAGGTGATATGTATAGACAGGTGATAGGTATAAACAGGTGATAGGTTTTGACAAGTGGTAGTTATTGACAGGTGATAGGTATAGAGAGATGGTAGGTATAAACAGGTGGTAGGTATAGACAGGTAGTAGGTATAGACAGGTGGTAGGTACAGGGAGGTGATAGGTTTAGACAAGTGTTAGTTATTGACAGGTGATAGGTATAGAGAGATGGTAGGTATAAACAGGTGGTAGGTATAGACAGGTAGTAGGTATAGACAGGTGGTAGAGTAGGTATAGACAGGTGGTAGGTATAGGCAGGTGGTAGAGTAGGTATAGACAGGTGGTAGAGTAGGTATAGACAGGTGGTAGAGTAGGTATAGACAGGTGGTAGTTATTGACAGGAGGTAGTTATTGACAGGTGATAGGTATAAACAGGTGATAGATATAGACAGGTAGTAGGTATAGACAGGTGGTAGGTATAGACAGGAGGTAGGTATAAACAGGTGATAGATATAGACAGGTAGTAGGTATAGACAGGTGGTAGGTATAGACAGGAGGTAGGTATAGACAGGTGGTAGGTATAGACAGGTCGTAGGTGTTGACAGGTGGTAGGTATAGACAGGAGGTAGGTATAAACAGGTGATAGATATAGACAGGTAGTAGGTATAGACAGGTGGTAGGTATAGACAGGAGGTAGGTATAGACAGGTGGTAGGTATAGACAGGTGGTAGGTATAGACAGGTCGTAGGTGTTGACAGGTGATAAGTATAGACAGGTGATAGTTATTGACAGGCGATATGTATAGACAGGTGATAGGTATAAACAGGTGATAGGTATAGAGAGATGGTAGGTATAAACAGGTGGTAGGTATAGACAGGTGGTAGTTATAGACAGGTGATATGTATAGACAGGTGATAGGTATAAACAGGTGATAGGTTTTGACAAGTGGTAGTTATTGACAGGTGATAGGTATAGAGAGATGGTAGGTATAAACAGGTGGTAGGTATAGACAGGTAGTAGGTATAGACAGGTGGTAGGTACAGGGAGGTGATAGGTTTAGACAAGTGTTAGTTATTGACAGGTGATAGGTATAGAGAGATGGTAGGTATAAACAGGTGGTAGGTATAGACAGGTAGTAGGTATAGACAGGAGGTAGGTATAGACAGGTGGTAGGTATAGACAGGTAGTAGATAGAGACAGGTGGTAGATAGAGACAGGTGGTAGGTATAGACAGGAGGTAGGTATAGACAGGAGGAAGGTATAGACAGGTGGTAGGTATAGTCAGGTGGTAGATAGAGACAGGCGATAGATATACATGTATATTTTTAAAGAGTTATTCATATTTCTTGTAATGTCTTGTACTGTTCCATTAATTCAGCAGAATGGTAGCGGTAGTTGCATGATAAAGCATGTCTGTATTGGGTTATTGTAATGAGGGGAAGGGCGGAGACATGTAAGGAGTCCGTCGTTTGTCCAACGATGTCACCTTTCTCATTTGAACAACCTCTCAAGGTCAAGCAGTTATGTTAAAACACTTAAACAACTTCTTCCGACAAAATAAATATTTTTCTGGTAGGTTTCCTTACATCAAGCACGAAAAAAATGTGAACAGAAATGATATTGACGAATGTTAAAGACAATACTAATCAAGCATATTGTAAAACACTCAAACGACTTATTCCGGTCAATCATAGCCCACAGTATCATGATATAACGTGTTTGTAATTTTGGTTGAGCTGTTCTTTGGGTGAAGTGAGACAAAATTGTGTTGACTAATATTCAGGGTTATTGAGTTTAATTCATTAAAGAGACAAGTTATAGAATAATTTTAATCATTGAGTTTATACTGTAAGCTTGTCTGTTGGTTTCAGATAAACACACTTTGTTAGTCAATAATGTTTGATATATTTGTATTTGTAGAGGCCTTGAATACCATGTTCGCGATCCAGGCCATTTGTGCCTCTTGTATACAGTATCTTATTTACATAAATGTTTCTCGCTTTCTCAACATATCAGCACGTTATGTTTATATATATATTTATTTTTAGTAATTCGTTGTTGGATAATTTTGGTCGGTTTGCTATTCTGCTGGTGTCGGTCAGCGGAAGCAGCGCGAGGGGTTGACCTTGGGATGTGTTCCGATGACTTGTTGAAGTGTCCGTGCGGTCCACAGTCTAGCGCGAGGATGTTCAAAGTGGACATACCAATCAGAAGGTATTTGATTGCGAACACATGAGTGTAACATGCATTCACCGACTTTTTTATTTTCTTTCAAAGCTGTCGTTTAGTGCATCTGTGCTTTGTTTAAGATAATGTTTTAATTACTCTGTCGTGTATTAGGTGCTCCTATTTTCACCAGTACAAGATGTTTTGTAAGCCATGTACGAAATACAATAGATCGGAAGTGTGTGGTCGTTTGCGACATTGTGACACGTGCACCGGAAACCAGGAAGGAGGATGTCTTACGTGTCCACGTAACAGATATGGCCGATTTTGTGAAACTGGTATGTTTAACTGACTGCTGGAAATATTTGTTTACAACGAAATAAATAAGATACATTGTTAACATATAGGTATGTGTCTGTGTTGGTTCGTTTTTCTTGTTTTTCTTTTATGGAAGACAGCATTGAATGAAATATATCCACTTTGACCAAAACGTAATGCAGTTTATTGTAAATATAATCTAAAAAGGTAAATTCTTTAATATGTATGTGTACATTGCTCCTTTTTAAGAGTGTGGTTGTCTGAATGGAGGAACGTGTGATCAAGACGGATCTTGTGTTTGTTTGCCTCATTACAACGGTATCCGGTGTGAACATGGGAACGGTGAGTCCTGTATACATATATATTCACTGCTAATTTCAGGATTTGATGTCGAAAATAAAATCGAATTTTCTTCCATAAATTTGTGAATTCATTTGTATTTTAGAGTGCAGCTGTTTACACGGGGGAAGTTGTCTTCCAGACCACACTTGTGCGTGTTTACCACAGTACGAAGGACCACGATGTGAAAGACAAAAACGTGAGAGAAGTCATGCTTGTCAAATTTGCGTTAAATGTCATTTATTTTTTTAGGGAATTGACTTTTTATTAAATATGAGTATGTTAAGAATTAACTTAATTTTATCTTTCAATTTTTGAGTAATTGTAGAAATACACAAAATGAAGTCATCATTTCAGGAGCGTTTTGTGGATCCCCCATCCTGTCTGTTCATGTTCGAGTCCAGGCCGAGGATTTCATGGAGGGGAGTATCGCCACGTTCTCTTGTCCTTCTTCTTATGTACAGATTGGTCATACGAGTGCCACGTGTCTACCGTCCGGACGATGGTCAGCCTCATCACCTGTTTGTGGTAAGGCTCCAACATTGTTATCAATACCAAACATACGATTCAGAAATAGCCACTTATGAACGCTGTCGTTAAAAAAACAGTCACAATGATTGTATAAAAAACGGTATTAGCAGTATATTTAACAAAGATTTTATACTGTAGAATTCCAGTGTACAGTACCGGAACCCAGGACTCACCAGGCAGTGGAAGTGATTCCAACCCTTATCCACACACAAGGGACCAGGACAGGTATGTTCCATCACGGGCTATAATGTAGAATGGAAGAACTCTTTGCTGACATACGAAAATGCTGATAGAACAAAAGAAAAGCTTGCACGAGCCAACATTTTTCATAATTGTGATAATCAGTTATTAAGTTTTAATAGGTGTCAGTAAATATCGAATATTTTAAACTTTTGATAAGCTTTATTGGGTTCATTTCATCAGTAAAACTCGTGAGAGAAGTACAACTCTCCTGTCGGGACGGATATGCTATCGACGGAATTGCAAACCTCCGATGTCTTCCGAACGGACTATGGAACGCAGAAGTACCGAACTGTGGTATGTATACTAACTAACAAATAAAGAGAAGTATCGAAATAATGGTTTTTTCTCTAAATTTGGTTCACCTCACTCGTTCACACCTTGATTAATACCTATATCCGGTGTCAAGGGCTACTTAGTAACCAATAAATGTACATGGGCTAGAGCACAGGATGTCTCAAATAAAGTGATTTTATCAACTGTGATGCTGTCCAGTTTTGTAATTATTCATGTAATGTTGTATAAGTGAAACATAAATAATTGCTGTATTTCATAATTCGTATGTGACATAGTCATGCGGCAGTTAGGAACAGGGACGTCCCTGGTAGAAAAGAGCAAAACTGATTCTCAAAGATAATTAATTTCTGTGTGTGATATCGGATGAGTTGAAATACCGAAAGAAATTATATCCTCTAAAGCGCTAGGCCTGAATGGCTTAACCAGTGTCAAGTGCGCGTTACTAAAGTTTTTCATTGCAAAGGAGTATGTTTGTAACAACAACATCAGGTGACTGCTATTAAGCTTTGTATGTTTGTCTTTAGCAATTAAACAGTTGAAGCGATAATACATCCTTCTATCGATATTAATGGTATAGTTATTCATTCAATCTACCTTAGATTACTGACACTGAGGTGTGTATTTTGATATTGTAGTTCGCACGTGCAATGCACCGCGCCAAATACAGTATGGAAGTTTCCGGGGAGATAATTTCCTAGAGGGCGCCAGTGTTGTGTACCAGTGTGACGAGGGATACCGTATGATCGGCGCTGCGGCAGTAATGTGTTTGGACGGGAAATGGATGGTTGAAGTTCCACGATGTGGTTAGTTTTGCTTGTTAGATATTTGAGGAAAACGACCAAATAAATAGACCGCGTTCAAATAATGATCGGGTGATACTTTTTAGCGATGTTCAGAATATGCATGAATTTATATGTATAATAATAGCATAACGATATCACTGGTGTAATGGAATTTCCCAAAATCTACAAAAAAGAAATTAGAAATGCGTCTGTTTCAGAGAGACGGGTCGAGTGTTCGCCACCCCGTACGATCGCCCATGGTGTGATTCTAAGCAATGAAACGATTCACTCTGTGGGCACTTCTGTCCAGTATGTTTGTCAGGAAGGATTCCGATTGGAGGGAGCAAATGCTACTCGCACGTGCTTGGAAGCCGGGCATTGGTCCAGTGAAGAGCCGTGGTCTGTTGCCTTTATCTATATTTTTAAAAAACAAGATTGTTTTTCACTGCAAATGCTTCACGTTATAAATATTTAATCTCATGTAGCTATAATTCTATTGTTATGTAACTTTTAGGTGCGAAAGGGACACGCTGTTTACTGGACACACGTGCTCCACGCCAGAAGTCCCGGACCATGGTTCTATCAAAAACCTGCACTACGTCCAGGCATTTACGGAAGAAGTTCGGTAAGTGTCCAACAGAACTCTGTTTTTGATACGGGATATTATTTTGATTGTTTTCACATTCATAATTACCTATTGGTCTTTAATTGCTTATTTCATTCTTCGTGTAAACCATCATCCGTCTTTATAAACGTCTAGTAAAAATTGGAATCTTCGATGTTTTTCGGAAATGTGTACTATAAGGATCATTATGCTTTAAGCATTTCAATCTTTTCTATCACAAAGGTTGCTGTTTGGATGTGATGAAGGGTACATTTTGGTAGGAAACCGTGAAAGAATTTGCAAAGAAAACGGTACCTGGAGCGGATCTTTACCTCAATGTGTACAGGGTATGTGTGTCTAGGGTAGGGGTGGATCATATGAGGGTGTGAAGGTGTAGGATTTATCTTCTCATTGTTATTTCCAGTAGGTGGCGCGACAGCTTGGGCGCCATGGACAACATTTAATTAATGATATTTTTATCATGTAACATTACATCTAGAGGTCTTACAGGCCTCTTCGAAATTTAGTTACAAGACCAAGTCCCTCCTCAGACTTACTCGCCATGCAGCGCATGTCACGTGATTACGTTAATGCAACAAGAGGAATTTTGAAGGTCATCTAGTTTCTGTAATGAATCACCCCTATGTTTATCCTACACGTATAATTTCCATTTGTGTCAAACGAGCACGTGCACCCACGTGTACAGGACTAGTGGCTACAGGGAGGACATTCTGGGGTGTAAGCTAACGTCCCTCTGTACTGGGCCAATGGCCGCAGAAAGGTATGCCTAATTCATAGGATCTGAATAAACATTCTGTGTGCCGACTCAGGGAAATACCATGTGCTCTTTCGAATTGGTTTGTTCTGTATTAGTTTTAAGAATTGTGATGCCTAGATCAAAGTTATTTGTAACAATGATTAATGAGACATGTGTACACAGTATAACCATGTTTTGTCTTTACATATCAAGTGATCACATGCGACGACCCAGGAATCCCTAGTAATGCTCTTAGACAGGTGGCGGTACCGGAAATGAGAAACAGTCGCAGGTGAGGCTGTCCACGTCAAAATGAGATAAGATATTATGTTAAACTCGTTCATGCTTGAAACAATAACTTAGTGTCGTAAAAAATATATAAAACGTTTAGATCCAGAAAAGGATTTGAACTAGTGACCTCCAGACATTAGACATCAAACCTCGCAATTTAGCCTCTGGTGACCGGAAGGTCAATTGTATGCTCAGTTCCGCTTTAGTAACAACAGCAGGATCTAAAGATGTAACATTTGTTATTACAATGCTGCGAATGTAAAACCTGATGGCAGATAAATCCACACAACACTTTATTTAATTTAAGATCACGCCTGCCTGGTATTCTAAGATCGGGTTTTGATACCCCGGGTAATAACCGGAACACAGACTTTACACTACCGGAAGGAAAGTTTCGAGTGTATACAAAGCTCATTTACCAATGTGAATCTCACTTTTACCGCCATGCGGGGTCCCGCCGTAGGAGATGCAGGAGAAACGGCACGTGGTCTGGGCGTCAGCCAGCATGTGTACCAAGTTAGTATAGATATCGAACTCGAAACAATGTAATTATATCTTTATCAATAAAAATAGGGGAAAAAAGAGGAATGTGTGTTATTTCATTAACATACTGTCCACGAAGGTTTTTATAACTTTAAAACATCATTATTGATTTTTTTTGTTACCGATTATTTAGTACGTTTTGCAATGCACTGCATATTGTCGTCGGATGCATCTAATGTTATCAATATCTATATACTCTCTCATTTTAGCCTGTAGAAGTCTAACTTTGAAATATTAATGGATAATCATGGATATGTGTTTGTTAGAGAGCATTTCAAATGGGGAAATGAAACAGGCTTAAATAGAAATGTTTTGAGGGTCATTATTTGGATATCGGACATCTTCGGGGCTTTCCGGCAGTCGCGAGCTTTCTTATCTTCAAATAACTCTGATGTGTTGTTCCTATTTTTGTTTTGTTACAATGTGTTATTGGGGTACCTCTTTAGGAAAGATTGGTTCCGAGTGTATCGTTATCATTTATGACGTAACTGTATTCAGTACTCAAGTGGAAACGCAGAGCTGCGTCAAAGAGAGTGGTCTAATGGATATACATTTATATAGATATAACTGTTGTTTCAGTCTGTGGAAAGTCGGCCACTGCCCGCCTACCACTAGTGTACAATGGCACCGTTTCCAGTATCGGACAGTGGCCATGGCAGGCCGCCATGTCCCGCCACCTCCAGGACAACTACTGGTACATCACGTGCGGAGGTTCCCTCGTGTCAGAGAGTCTAGTTGTGACGGCGGCTCACTGCGTGACGCACTATCTAACGGACATCCCAATTTCTGTTGATGATATCGCCATCTACCTTGGCAAGCAATATCGGTCCGATGTTCTTAACAGCACGTTTGTCCAGAAAAGAAAGGTACCCCATGTTTATCTTACTGTATAGATTCGACCAAAACGGTGTTAATTAACATTAGTTAGTATAGTTTTAAATGCTAGTCGTTTGTGTTATCATATTGTATACTTTCCATGCTATGTCAGCACTAGCAAATACATTGATACAATTTGAAACATACGTATTTTATCTTTTTTTCTTTCTGACAAATACTTGAAAAAAGACTTACGTTCTATTTTGTTCTTACTTCTCTTATAAAATGAAACTAATAAAAGAATTATAATTGATTTCCAGGTAACGTCTATAGAAATACATCCACACTACAACCCTGGTACATATGACCTTGACATTGCAGTCTTGTTACTTGATAATCCAGTGACCTTGACCCATTACGTCAGACCGGTGTGTCTGCCAAACCGATTCGCCAGTGAGAGTCATCTGCGTCCAGGCACGGAGGGCGTGGTCACTGGATGGGGAGTTACAGAGAATTCAAGAAACTCAGAAGAGCTCCGCATGACTAAAGTACAAACGACCACAAACACCGATTGTATGGACAAATACGCACAAGTCGGTGGGTGCCCATCCACACCTGGAGTGTGGTACAATGTAAAATGGCTGTGATAACAAAATATACTTAGACATATGTTTTACTCTTATATATTCTTCTTTTCAAATAAATACACACGGGTTAATGTAGCAGATGAATCGTTTCCTCATACCGGTTTGGCAGTCAAGAAAAAGCTATGTTTATATCGTCAAATTATATCTTAACTGTTTCAATCCATCAAGTCGAAATGCAATGAGTTACCAACTGACTTCTTTTGTGTGTGTAAAGTCGCAATTTCAGAGCTGGATATATCCGTTTATGGCCATTTTGCACTGATATTTAAGTACATTTGTACATTTAAGTTTGTAGGGTCTATAGTAAAATCATGTCAGACACTACTACCTACTTCAAAATATTTAATATTGACAAGATACAGTCCACAATTAATTAACCTTTAATGTAATGAGGCAATCAATTTTTCAAAACAAATCGCACAAATACATGACGTAAAATGTTAATAAACATAACATTGTAGTATACCCATCCCCTAATTACGACAAAGACATATCAAATACATTTTAATTCTTGCGTACGTGTGTTATTGTAGTATATCCGTCCTAATTTCAGGTTATCCTCAGACTATCACAGAGAATATGTTCTGTGCTGGACAGGAAGATGGAAGTAGTGATGCGTGTGAGGGAGATTCTGGGGGACCTCTTGTGTTTCCTGATACAGGTACAGTATACCACCACGACGCTCCTGTATCATATTTTATTCAGAAACCATCCCATTATAATACCTGCTTCCGTTCGATCTCCACTTCATTACCAGCATGTCTTAAAATCATTTTATACATCCTCCGTCTCCCGTCCGCAACAAAGTTAGGTTGTCCATCCGTCCGTCTGTAGACGCAACGAAGTACCTGCTACTCGTCCTAAAGTACAAAATAGATTTCAACAATACTTCCTGGCTATAATCCTTGTACATTGTAGATGTGTGTAATCTACATCAGATTTAGGTACCTCCGATTTCGGAAAGTTATGCCCCTTTGGGAACGCAGTGACATACCTGTTACTCCTACTATACTAATGAGTGGATTTCAACAAAACTTACTGAGAACAATCCATATACATTGTGGATGTGCGTAGTCTTTATCAGGTTGAGTTACCTCCCCCTTTTCGGAAATGTATGTCCCTTCGGGAACTCAACGATGTAACCAGCTTATCCTTAACTACTGAATAGATTTCAGCGAAATTTTATGTCAAAAATCCTTATACATCGTAGATGTGTAAATACCACTGATTTGACCAATCAAAGATAACGTTGCAAAATGACATCGATTTTTTATTTATTTATTTTATGTTATTTTATTTATTTTTTTTTTATTTGAAAGCCTAAAATCCTAACATAAAAACTCAAGAAATTACTATACCCATGATTACTCCATACTTGTGTGTTGACTTCATATTGGCTAGTGTTTTGTTTCTATGACTATAACCGCGGAATATTTGTACATGATCAGACTTGGCATCAAGGTTCTATTTGAATAGAATATAGATCCCATGTCACCAATTTTAGATACCATTTAAGTTTTCTACGGTTGACTTTGTTCGCGGTGAGAGGGGATGGGTATGGTTTTGATCACGGACGACAATTTTGATTTGTTTTGCTTTTTAATAAGACCCTTGATATATTTTCCTGCCGACAATATTTCTTTATATGATTGTTATCGTTATGATATAATTGCGATGGTTTGTAGGTGCTGACCGGAAATGGTATCTTGAGGGAGTTGTGAGCTGGGGCAGTCCCCTAGGTTGTGGTATAGAGCTACAGTACGGAGTTTACACAAGGGTTCGAAACTGTCTAGACTGGCTTTCAAACTTCCTATGATATCTATATCACTGTGATGAATAAAATAGGATGATCAAAAGTGGCCATTTTTCATGGTATTGCATGAGAGAATTCAAGGTGGTTAAAAGAGAACACAAAACCATTAAGCTATATATTTGATCAGCCTTGGACAGCTGACTCCCGAGATATGTTTATAGTTTGGACTGTGAACTTCCGAACTATTGATTACTTAAAAACTAATTTGACTTACAAAATAGTCCTTAAAGCATTCCTGTAGAGAAAAACTTTTCAAAGAAACAAATTCAAACATTGAAAATTTGAAACCGTAATTAAAAAACAAAACATGTTAGAAAAATTCGATTTTAACCAATCAAAGCACATTTGATTTCCTGGTCAGATATTAACCTCTTGTAGATTATCCTGTCCACCTAGCATCTAGGATTTTACTCAGAATGTCTTTAATTTGATTTAGCAAAATTAGAAAACAGTTAAATTTTGGTAACTCAACACGATAATAAGAGCTTAAATTGCACCTCATGATATTGATCACATTCTGTCCGCTCTAAGGAAATGTCTATGTCATACCAAGTCGCGTTAGGGTGTATGACAAGTTTATTACTGTCTGCTAATTACTCATAGATTTAAAGTATTTCAAGCAGAAAACATGTCCACGGTATCAAACCAAGAAATAGGTTTGACAAATGAAAATATCGTAAACACGTGATATTTATTCCGCATGTCACGTAAAACGTTCCGATAATTACGCAATAATTAGGTAGTAACCAGGGAAAACCCACATCGTAAGTTATGTTAATAATGGACGCAGGCAAAACAATGCATCTATGTCCATATCTAAAATTGATTTACAATGGAATTGATATATAAAAAGGCGAGTGCGTTACACCTAGACGTCCGTGGTTCGACTCCAGGAACGGATGTGACTAGGTAACGGGTCACCTGTCTGACCACGTTGGTTTTCCCTGGGTACTCCGGTTTCCTCCCGCAATAAGACTTCTTGCAAGCTTACATCCAGGCCAAAAAGAGTTTGTTACCTGTACATCTGTATCTAAACACTTAGTGTGTTACCCGGCCTTGTTTATCCTGTTACCTGTACAAATATAATATTTATCAGAGATGTATATATATATATAATAATAATGAAAATGACAGTGCTAAAATTATTTTGATATAGTATAACAGTTAAGTGTAAATAAATCTTTTACAAAACTTTTTAGTTCACATTTCATGTCTATTATATGAAGGAGTGACCACTGTGTGCTTCCGAAACATATGACAAATGGTTGATAAATTGTAAAAGAGTGCACCAGGACTTGGATAACAAACTACTGTACCAGTTATTCAGCTGATAGTGTATTTGGTGTAGCACATTGAAGTGTTGTATATAAAACATAGTGAAGTTTATCCATCGCTGTTGCTAGAGTTATCTCCCTTAGTCCATATTCCTTCTCTATTGGCACATGCCTTTGAGCTTAAGATCTTTTCAATATTAAAGAAGAGGGAAATCCTGACTACTGATAAATAAAGTGCCTGTAAGTGGCACTTGTGTTGTCATCAGAAATGTATGACCCACCGTTGATGGAATACGATACTGTATATCAATAACACATGGCACACATTTCCACACGGCCATTAAATTACTACAAGTAAGGTTTGGACATTTCTTCTAAAGTATGTTCATCTTTCTTTCAAAATATGACACGCACCTTTATATTTATGTATATTCACCAGGGTACGCCATACATTTATCTAGGATAATACTCACACAATATTATAATTGATACACGTTGTCACTGTATACACCTACACCTAAATCGTTAATATCACTTCTATCCTGCTGACGAGCAACGTATACAATGATAAATTGTATATGTCAAAAATAGACTTGTTGATAGAAAAACTTGTTGATAAATATTCTGTCAGCAAGTATGCCAACGGAAACCAAAGCACGTGTCCATTGCATAACCATGTGCCCTTACTTTAATGAATAAAGACAAAACAAATACTAGAAAATACTCCCATATTTCAAATATTGAGTCGTTGTTTCCAACCGAAAAAAAGCAATATCGTACAAACCAGAAACATATGTTTCTCCTAATTTTCTCTGGTAATTTTTATAAAATATTTTTACAACTTGAAATGATTTAGAGAAATTCAAGCATTGTTTTATTAGTTTTGTCGTTATACTGTTAACATTTGAAAGCGATTCGCTACTGATTCAACATAGAAGTATGTCAAACAAAAATCTTTTCTGACTGTCCAATAATTATCAATCAAATTATTTAATTCTGAAACAGCATTTGCACCGAAATATCCCCATGGTTCCGGTTCATGTCGCCCTGTAGCTGGCTTCGCGACACTCATAAGAATACTGGAGTCCAAAATCCTGCCTCACCTATAGGTCATGAGCTGAAAAGTATCAGTTTAAAAAATGGTGCATCATGGGTATTGGGCAAGTGTTTGATTGTATTCGAGGTACTCGGTCTACTTAAGGTAGTAAACACCGGAAGTAGAATTCTGGGAGATCAGGAAAAGACAACCCTTTTCTGAGGAAACATACTGAACGCTTATAAATATACAATGATGTAGTCGTCTGTGGGACCCAATAACAGAAGATATTAATAGAGCACATACGATTCTTACATAACTTAGTTTTGGGTACTTCACACTTGTGTATGGACTGCATGTCAATTGGATAAAATACACACACAAAAGCAAAAAAAAAAAAAAAAAAAAAAAAAACAAAAAAAAAACTAATTAATGCGCTTATGATTATCGCAGCGATGAGCAACAATTATAGATAGTGTTAGAAAATTAATAAAATACCATCAGGTTTTAACACCGCCATGGAACAAGTTCACGATGAAAAGAAGCGATCAGTAGAAAGAACTGTTGCAAAACGTAATATTGACATTTTTGTTTTGATATAAATATATTGAACTATTAGACATACAGAGCAAGCACCTCCGTAGATAACCGTTTTCAGCAATAATACGAGACATCATACAGATGTCGGGCTACCTTTTCATTGAAATGCTACATAATGTCTTTGTTAGTTTCAATTTAATTTCAAGAAGATTAAAAACATGATTTAACTATTGCAAACACCACTTGTATTACTACTCACTCCTCCTATCCGAAGTACAATGTACCATTTATATCCGTTTTCTCAGACAATGGTAATATGTACAACGCTGGGGTTTACGGAAGTGACGATGATCTCAATATACATTTAATGAAAAGTTCTGATATTTTGTGAAGAATATTTACAGATAAAATCAAAGCCAGAAATAACAACACGAAATATTCTAATTTTGTCATTGTGATAGTCTTTTGTTTTTACGGAATAAGAGGGGAAGTTATGTCAATGAAGAAAAACTGATAATAACAACAAAACTAAACGGGAAGCGTATTTTGAAAGTTACTTTAAAGTAATACGGCAAGGGCTACAGATCGCTAAAAGTTCTTAAAAACTACAAAATATTTTTAAAATCTCGATTCCGCCCGAAGAATGAAGATTACTGCCGCGACGACAGCATGAGAAGTCAAGATACCGTATTCTGCAGATACAAAACAAATGGCTGAAGGTGGAGGTTTGTCGATTCATGGGATAACCGACAAGATCGTTAAAATACGTGTCGGTGAAGAAACGCAGGACAAAACGATCAGCGACAGAAAAGCTGTATCAACATTGACAAAGATGGTGAAAGGTGGAAGACTGTAAACAAAGTCGACGCGGTCCGGGGAAACGCCTAACATTGGCTCTAATTGTGACCTCTTTAATGTACCAGTCTAAAGATTAAAATTATTTTTTTGCCGGTTACATGAAGGAATGTCCTCCAACGTTCTTACACCAGGCTTATGAGAACGGGTATTAAGAAACACGAACGGACATGAACAACAGGAAAATATTAAGATCAAGCGTGTTGTTATTGGGACAGCTGATAGTGGGGCTTATTCAATGAATCCTAGTTCCCTTTGTAGACGTCAAAACTCCTGATTCAGCAGTGAAGCAGTTTACGATTGTGTTGTTGAATACAGCATATCATGGGCTGTCTGACGTCTCCCCAGTAGAACACATCCTAGAAACCATATCATGGGCTCTCTGACGTCTCCTGAGTAGAACACATCCTAGAAACCATATCATGGGCTGTCTGACGTCTCCCCAGTAGGACACATCCTAGAAACCATATCATGGGCTGTCTGACGTCTCCTGAGTAGAACACATTCTAGAAATCATACCATGGGCTGTCTGACGTCTCCTCAGTAGAACACATCCTAGAAACCATATCATGGGCTGTCTGACGTCTCCTGAGTAGAACACATCCTAGAAACCATATCATGGGCTGTCTGACGTCTCCCCAGTAGAACACATCCTAGAAACCATATCATGGGCTGTCTGACGTCTCCTCAGTAGAACACATCCTAGAAACCATATCATGGGCTGTCTGACGTCTCCCCAGTAGAACACATCCTAGAAACCATATTTTGGGCTGTCTGACGTCTCTCCAGTAGAACACATCCTAGAAACTATACCATGGGCTGTCTGACGTCTCCCCAGTTGAACACATGCTAGAAACCATATCATTGACTTTCTGACGTCTCCTGAGTAGAACACATCCTAGAAACCATATCATGGGCTGTCTGACGTCTCCCCAGTAGAACACATCCTAGAAACCATATCATTGACTTTCTGACGTCTCCCCAGTAGAACACATCCTAGAAACCATATCATTGACTTTCTGACGTCTCCTGAGTAGAACACATCCTAGAAACCATATCATGGGCTCTCTGACGTCTCCTGAGTAGAACACATCCTAGAAACCATATCATGGGCTGTCTGACGTCTCCCCAGTAGGACACATCCTAGAAACCATATCATGGGCTGTCTGACGTCTCCTGAGTAGAACACATTCTAGAAATCATACCATGGGCTGTCTGACGTCTCCTCAGTAGAACACATCCTAGAAACCATATCATGGGCTGTCTGACGTCTCCTGAGTAGAACACATCCTAGAAACCATATCATGGGCTGTCTGACGTCT